AAAAACCAAGAAACATACCATAGAAAACCAGGAGTGGTTAATAGTTTCATGGATTCTCCTAAATTCTAAAATCACTCTTTACTGCACATTAGATATGAGTAAAACCTGATACAGTAATAATTGTTGTTGCTATTATTGAAAGAATTCCATTCTGATAAAATAATTTTTGTTTTCTGTTTTAGACTGCTTGGTATTCAAGTAGCAAAACATTCGAATACTTATGCTTTAAGAATCTGTTTATTTTTTGTGTTAAATGATTAAAAAATTAACACCTTCTTTCCTTTTAAATCATGTAAATAGTTAAGACTCATGCTGTAGCTAAGCTGATTCTTTCTCTGTTTTAAAAATAGAAAATGCTGGAGCAGTCCTTCCCTTCCCCCACTCTGTAGTCACTAGTCCAAGCTAGCAAATGTTACTGAATGGATTTCAGTGTTGTAGCCATTCTACAGTAAGTACAGCAAGAGCCTTTGTGAAAAAGCGAAAGGAGGCAAAAAGGTAGCGGAGATCATTTGTGGATGTTCGTCAGAGCAGAGTACCTGCACCCATGACAGACAGGCTTTCCTCGAGAACCAGATCATGGCAACAAACACTGCTGTGCACAGGAGCCAGGATCTCCCCAAAAGACGCCTAGAAAGTGTAGGGGAGTGCCCTGCAAAACGGAAAGCTAGCTGGGGTATTCTGACCAGCCAAGGTTAGTATAGCAGCCATTTCAGAGACCGGCTACTGAAATATGCTAAGCTGACCCAATTTATGATGGTCTAGCTATAAAACTGATTTCTTTTTAATTTTTATTTTTTTTCCCTAGCTGTAATGTAAATGCATGCTTTTGTTAGTGGAACTTTATTGTCTTGCATGGGTTAACACAAGGGTACTGAGGCTATTTTCGTTCTTTCTGCTCTCTTATCAGCTGATCTAAAATACCATTTCTTGTTTATCTGCCCTATTTGTTTTATGCAAGTGTTTGAGGCTTGACTTACCCTGACTTTTGCTGTCCTTTCACGAGGTAACTGGATACTAAAGGTTAATTGTTTACTATGGGGAACCAGAGAATGAAAGGAGGGGGAGGAGTAAACTTGACATATAACTTTACGCATAAGGAGTCTTTGAGAGCTGAAATAGGAGGCAATAGAGGAACACGTCTGTATATCAGACAGAATTATTGTCCTGTACTAATACACTAAAGACAAAGTATAATTGCAAGGCTTTGCATAGAGAAGTACCTAGGAGGTATTTAAATTGCTGAACATTGACATTTTCAACAATGAGGAATAAACTCTGTTAGAAGTGTTTAGGACTCCTATTGCCTGTGCCATATTTTCTTGTAATTTTTTTTTCCATAGTCCAAATGTGTAAAAGGGAGCTTTGAATAATTTCAAGAGTCTTAACAGGAATTTTTTGAACGAGTGATCATAATACCATTTAATATTGATGATAACATAAGGTTTAGAGTGAAACAAAAAAGAAATTAAGGAAGTCAAGCTTGAAATTCATGATAATATGATATAAAATAAAAAAATGTAAATGTTAAAATACTCAATGAAAGTAGTAAGTGACAGGAGTGAGTTCATATGTTGTACATAAAGGAACTGTGAATTTTTCATGCAAAATATAGCTATATGTTAGCTATATTCTTAAAATATATTTTTATTCTTAAAATACCTTCGATGATTTCCAGTACTGACAGTTTTATAACTCAGCAATATTCAAGAATTTAAGCACCAGTTGCCTTATCTTCCAAGTAACCATTTGAATGCAATGATACTGTATGATTGCATTTATTCATCAGCTTTAATACACAGAGCATCTTTTATCCTCATGTTTTTCACTGTTTTGCCCAAGATTACATGACCTAAAGAAACTTTTATTTATGGTCATTTCAGCTCTTTAAGTCAGTATTTTCCAAAAAAACTTGGACAATATCCATCAGCTGAAAATAAATTTCACAAGAGTTTATCAGTGTTGGTACTAGCCACTCCATTATATGATTGAAGGTTAGGCTCTCCTGCTACTCTTGCAAAGAAATGGCCACAATTATTCTACTTTTGAAATTCTCAGAATCTGAGTAAAATATGGGAACTAAAATTTTCTGTAGAATCCATCTTAACAGGGTCTAGCTACTTAAACCTCTTTGTGATTGCTGTGCTGGGAATATACATTTATTGATAGACATCCTGAAGTACTGAGAGACTTCCGTTGCATTTGAGCCTTCTGATTGTTGCAGTGCACTTGAATAACAAGTATATCTTTTATCAAGTCCGAAGGATGCTTTTTTTCTTTCCTCTCTATTTCATCTGTGCAGGTATCCAAACCTTGGCTCTACAGGCACCTTTGCAGAGCAAAGGGAGAGAAAGTCATACTGCAGTGCAGTCTGTAATTAAATGGGCAGATTGGAAAATGGACTGAAAGTGATGCAGAGGGTGGTATATATTGTAAGATTGGATGAAAGGGTGAAAGGATAGAGTCAAAATGGGAAAAGGCCTTTAGCCTACTGGCTTGAGGGGCTACAACCCCAAAATCTTGTGGATGTGACAGAAATTACACACTGGGCCCAGATTTGCTGTACAATTGCTCACTGTTTACAAGGTTTAGGATTTAACCCTGTGCTGCATTCACTCTCAGACAGGCTGGGAAAATACAGAGGATTCTCAGCACAGTTTGGGAAAAATTGTTTGTACTCTGGATTAAGGCTGAGACTGTGTTTGAGGAGCAAAATGATTCCAGACTTTAATCTTTAGAATCTGAACTCAGCTCAGAATGTCCATATTCCTTTTTCTGTCACCTTCTAGTTGGGAAGGGGACAGAAAAACCCTTACTTTGTTTCAGTGACATGTCCAAGGAAATAATAACAGCCGAATAATATTACCAACTGCTCTTCCTACTCCAGGCATATCTGATGAGGATCTAATAGATTACTGAATTTGGAGACTTATGTGATGTTACATATTGGCATTCTAGGTAGGGCACACAGATTTTGCAAGCTACTTTAGGTTAGAAAAATATCCAGACAGTTGTTGATGCTTCAAGAAGATGGAAAAAACAACCTGTGCCTGAGCAATGGCCATGGAGCTGTGGCTGTGCTTTCAGGTGACACGAGAAGGGGCCTGGCACTCTCCTTCCCACATGTGCAAGGCTGAGTGCAGAGCCAGCAGCGATCGCTGCTGCTCCCACCATTGCCATTGCCAGCATCTTCACACAGCATAATGTTCCTTCTGCTGGGAACCAAGCAAGCTGTGTATGGAATTGAAATTCTAGGCTTTTTTATTGAGTTCAGTGGCTCGTGTTTCTGTGGGAAAAGTATGCAAAAGTGCATTGCCAAACTCACAAAATGTTATCTGTGCCACACTGATTTGACCACTCAGTGCATTATACCCCAGTATTTGACAGCACAGCCACATGCTGTGCTCTTCCACAAAGCCCCAGCCTCTTTAGATGTGCAACAAGAATGATGATCTGAGAATGCATTAGTTTTATACTCAGGAAAAAACATACCCTATGTTCTACTGTTCTATGCAAAGGTTAGAAGGCATGTTATGAATGGTAGGGAGAAAGGGTTAATGTTTGAATGCCCCTAAAAGTAAATTCCATTCTTGTCTTTGCTTTGGAACCTTTGTGTTTTAAGACCAATCATCTGATGTAAAAGTGTTTTGGCTGATCATGGTTATTATTATCTAAAGCTGAAATTTCAGAAGCTTAGAGCTCTCACAACCATAATTAAACTGTGCTTTTAGTTTGAGAACTCAGTAAAAAAACAAGCTGTTAGAATGATTTTATAATTCAAGCATCAAAACTCTGTCTTTAAGTTCCTCAGTCATAAAATAGTACAAATGGATGATGTTCTGATATAGATTCAGCAGGGGAGTTGAAGTATTCTTTTATTATTGGCACAATACCGTCAAAAAGGCAGTAGAAAATTAACAATGTTACAGTGAGTTTATAGTTTGGATGACATGTCTTAAAGAGATCCTGCTAGATATGGAGATAAAAATATTTTTGAATACTAACTAACTCACTGAATACAACACTGGAATGGCAGAACTAATGTGCAGTCATGTGGTGCAGGTGCATTAGAGACAGAACTGTGTGGGAAAGTAAATTTGCTTTGTATGGTTTTTAGGAGTAGGAAATTGTTACAATTTACACTTGAAGCCCCCAAATTGTGAAAGTCTACATTATGATAAACATTGGAAAGTATAATGGTATGAACCAAGCAAGTTTTCCTTGTTTGTATGCATATATATACACACATACACACATTTAGTTATATAGTTATAGAATTTTCAGATTATTTGAAATATTGAAATGAGAAATGTAAATGCCACTTGAATGACATCTTCTCTTTAGACATATTTTAATAATCTCTAGACTAAGTTTTGATTCTCTTGGGGTTCTTCAGTGTTGACTGTTTAAACTTAATTTATTACAAAAATAGTGGCTTCAGTTTTTCTGGCCATATCTAATCATGATAGTTAAGCATCATAGATACATTTCTTAAAGTTTAAATCCTTCGTTGAAGATTTTTTTCAATAGTTTTCCACATCAATATCAATCAAGTAGTTGACATGCTTCTTTATCCTACAAGGGATTTAGACAAATGATTATAGTGACACAAAAAAAAATCCATTAGAACCAAATTAGATATACAAAATATCAGTCACTGTCAGCAACTGGAGTGGAGTGATTCTGTTGATCTTGGGACTCTGGTGTTGCAGGGTTTTTCTCTTTAGTTATTGATCCTGTCTGTTGCTTCAGTTGCCAGAAGCTGAAGCACTCAGAATGCGTCTTAAGAAATAAAAAGTAGCAGTGCTTGTCTTAATACATAGCTTTTGTTGGTTTTTAGAAATAAATATTATATACAGTGGTTTCCAAATACTCTGTTTCTCATCTCCCACCAATGAGCTGTGTCAGGCTTCTGTATTCAGTTCCTCTCTGATGATAGTGCTTCTTCTGACGACTGGGACTCAATTAGCCATGGAGCAGTCATTTTTTGAAGTGCTGAGCCCTGGTATAAATACTCTCCCAATGAAGTCAGTGAGAAGAACTTTGTTCATGACAGTCCTTATTTTGAAAATCTAACCTTTAATGTACTTTTTATACTGAGTTGAGGGTTGTTGTTTTATTGGCTTTTTAGGGTTTCTTTTGAGACTTCACATATTTTTAGAAATAAATACAAAAGGAAAGACATGACTGGAGGTAAAGTCTGTTGTGAAAATATTTTTACTTAGTATTTTACTACTATGACTATAATTGCAGGAATGACTTATAGATAATTGCAGGTAGATGTAAAGGAGTGAAGTCTGTAGGAAAAGAACATTAATGAATTAGAAATGAATTAAAGTCAGAATTGAAAATCCCTATTTTTGGATGTTTTCACTGCTGAGAATAGCTATCAATGCCCCAATTCAACAACCAAAGAATATTTTAGAACATAATTGAAGGAATAATGAACTAGTAAGAGAAAAACACAGTTCAGGTACAACTCAAACAGCATTTGAAACATGATCAGAATATCTTTGCTTTACTTTTCTAGATGTATTTTGAGTAAGTATTAAAATAACATAAGGACATTTGGCAGTGCTTCCCTTAAAATCTATGTACTGATACCAATTTTTGAGGACACAAAACTGTAAGTCTCTGCACAAGGTTAAAAAAGAATGAGTTTTTCTTGCCATTCATTCATGTCAAGGTTTTCTTGATTTCACTGTGAGTTTCTCTTGTGTTGAAATTCCAATTAATCTGTCTTGGAAAGCCAATGCACAGATAGTAGCACTTTGAGAAGCTGTTATGTTAAAGGAAGAAATGTGAAAAACAGACAAAAAAGGACAGCAGTCCTTTACCTTAAGAAACAGACAACTTGTATACACTCATATATTCAAAGCTGTGTTTACTGAAGGCTGAAAGTTCGTATTACAGGGAGCTGCTGATCTTCCAAGCATAGCCAGAGTGTTTTAGGAACAGGTCCAACTAGCAAGAGCAGGTTTTTTTATTATTATTATTATTATTATTATTTTAATTTTTTTTATTTTCCAGATTGAAAGAAATGAGTAGGATTTATAATTGCAATTGGCTGGAAGTGCCATGGGGAGATGGAGATTTAGGTACTGTATAATAATTTGTAAATTTTTTTTTAACTTCACCCGTTAATGCAGTGAATATATTTATTCTTTCTTGTTAATGCCTACAAAGCAATGATGCTTTGGAATAGTTTGCCCTTCGGGTAAACTATACATCAGAGAACTTGGAACTAATGTGGTTTCTGTTTATAGTTAGTTATACTTTATATTCAGCATTGTCAGAGACAGCAGGGAATTAATGCATTATCAATTTTGGAATAGACTATTTTTGCTAATACTGCTATTACAAACAAAATGGATGAAAGTGTTTATATTTTTGCTAATGACTTCTAAGTGAGAGACTTGTAGTATTGTAATTTGTAGATTAGCAGAAGGCAGTAATCTAGGCAAAGAATTTATGAACACCTTTGATGTTTCTTTATGGTAAATATTCATGTTGAACATATTCTTGTCGCTGCAGTATTTAATGATGAATTATTATGTATAACAAAAAATCAGTTGGAATGTGAATTTTCTTTTTTCCAGAGCTTGGTCAGCTCAAAATAGTTCTGCAGCGTTTTGCTTGTAGATTTTATTTGTAGTAAAGATGATACAAGCTTTTTGCATTTTATGGATTTATCGAAAACAGCTGGCTGCTGAATGTCTCTGCCTGAAGACAGGGATATGAGGTGGGTCTAGGTGCAAACCAGAGCTTATAACAGGATCTGGCATAATTTGATTATCAAATGTCACTGGAGTAATTAATAAATATTTGTCTGATCAATCCAAGATGGAAGGAGGTAAAGGAAATAAAGGTGGAAAATTGTTGCTTTCAGATCCTACCTGCATCTTTGTTGTGTTTATACATGGCTACAAAAATGTCTGAAATGTAAATGTATTGAATGAGTATGAAAACTTCATAACTCTTTTATTTTTATAAGATGTTTTTCCATATAATCAGTTCTTTTTTTTTTTTTTTCTTTCCATTGAGTAGGATAAACAGTAGAGAAAGATATGTTCTCATCTATAGAGACAGAGGGACAAAATTACCAAAAGCAACCTCTAAATACAGATTTTAAATTTGAGGATTTTTTTGCAGCAGCCAGCGGGAGAACTTAATGGATCTAATTCATTTGAATTAGAACAACTTGAGTGCTCATTCAGGTACTACTGCAGAAGAAGTAAAACATTGATTGAAATACTCATAGTGATTACCCACATCCAAACCACAGTACCATGTCTATCTGAGCTTATTGGTATGACAAAGAAAATACTGATGATTTTTCAAAATTTAGTCACTTGAAGGTTTCTGAGCTCAAGGTTTTTTAATGTATAATAGCCTTATAATCCACATCACTTTGTGTGTGGGGTTTTAAAAGTTTTTTGTTTGTTTGTTTGTTTTGTGTGATTTTGTTTGTTTTTTGTGGGTTTTTTATTTGTGTTTTTTTAATTGGGTTTGGTTTGGTTTTTTTCTTTTTTTTTAACTCAGACTATCAATAAGACTTTCAAAACATTACATTAAATAAACCTGCAGTAAAAAGTAAAGGGAATATTGTGTGTGCATGTGAAACTGGATCTTGCCAATAGCCCATCTACTGCCATAGATGAAAGAGTTCAAGAAGCTTCACACATACAGGATACTCTGACATGGTAGAAAATTTACTGCATTTTTAAAATCAGGTTTATAAAACCTTACTGTCATATGTTTAAACTTCTGTGATCAGCTTTATGTAGTCTTATGACAATTTAAATAGTCATCCGTGCTTTTATTTTGCTAAGTATTTGATCTCAGTAATATTCAGTAGTGCTGAGTCACAAAGTGCAGTGTGTTCTCCAAGATGCTGTGATACGTCTGTGTAAGTTTAGTCTCATTCACTAACACCAGTAGGAAAATGTAGGTTTTATTTACATTTTCCTATTGTGCACTATTTCATGGGTTTTTAACTAGGCCCTGATTTCAGATTGAATAGCCTTAATCTTGTCATCATTCTTGATGTGATTTGAGAGGGTTGTTTATAGTAAACAAAAGTGTACTTTCTGAAACAGGCTAGTGGACAGAAGGAGTCCAATAGGAAAGAGAAACAGGGTCTATTTCTGGGGTGTAGTTATCTTAGAGCTTAGCCTGATGACTGCCAGCGATTGAGCAACAGCCTTTGCATTTCAGACTCACTGCCTGGCCAGGGAATGCAGTGGCTGGCTCTGCAGGCACTCCCTGTCCATGGCAGAGTCAAACCTGCACGCCTGAAGAATCATCTGCCAATGTTTCCTAGTCATCATGCCAGGCTAATTCTCTCTACGTGTCATCAGGAATTTTGGGCAGCTTGATGTAACTCACACAAGGGATTGTATCAGTAGTTTACAGTTCTAGTGATTTTGTTCTTAAAGGAATAAATACTGATAATTCATAATACATTTTGAAAATGTTTCTTCCTTGCACAGCCTCTCAAAACTGCATTTTCAAAATTCCTGCCATAAATTGGTATCAGTTCTGCCTGCAGCCACGGCTGGCTAGAAGGGACCTGTCAGTGTGCAGTCTTGTACAGGAAGGGGCAGGTCCTTCAGCAAGAGCTTCAGGATGTCTCTGGAAGCTGGGCTGGGAGTTAGGGAGGCTTATGTGTGTGAACACAGGGTTGATGTTGAATAATTTTTTTTTCACCTGTCTCTTTTGGGGAAGATAAATGAAAATAAAGGCCAAACCTTTACAGTAAACATATCAAATTATTTTGAAGCCTAATATTTTATAGGATGAGAACTTAGGCTTTATATCTTCTTTATACTATAGAAATGTTTTTTACCGTGATTCTCACTGTATTTTTCTCCTTGCACTTGTGTAGTAGCTTCAAATTAATCTCACCATACATAGATTCCCACATTGCTTTTCATATACACCAGCTCCTTTGTGACTTCTTCAGGCAGCTTTACATCTGGTTTAAATTCAAATGATGACTATATTCCAGCTACAAAGCTTTATTATGTGTATTAAAAATAAACAATGCAAAAATATAAATGGAATATGACCATTGATTAATATATTAAATCACATTATTGATATAAATATCTCAATATTTTGTTCTGTGGACCACAATTATTTATTAGAGATGTTTACAATTAATAATAGAGCACTTTTTTACTGTTTAGGAACTGATCATTTACGTTTCTAAAGACGAGAAATTAATTTCATAGGATACTTGACTTCATTCTGTTAATCAGATTTTCTGCTTTGCTCTGTGCATTCCAAACCCTTTCTAATTCATATGGCTTATTCAATAAATGTTGTTCTTATATAGGTTCTTGGGCAGATCGCTCACCTCTGCATGAGGCAGCCAGTCAAGGACGTCTTCTTTCTCTGAAGACTTTATTGTCACAGGTGAAGCCTCTGTTTTTACATTTGCTTTCATTTTTAATGTTAGTTAATTTCTCAGCAGAGATTATCAATGCAGATTTAGTATGCTTTGTTTTGCTTTTTTCACTTGAATTTTTCAAAGCAATACATATTTAGGAATTTTTCATATTATAAGATACAAGCTAGTATTTAAAATATTTCAATATTTCCTCTGCATGTTTTAACTCCTGTTTTCCCCCTAGGAAAAAAACCAAAACAATCAAACCAAAATTGTTTCTAAATTTATGTCAGTCTTCCCCTCTTGCATGATATAATTAAATATAAAGCAGTTTCACTGCTTTAAGCCTTGGGTAAATAGAACTAGTCAGGAAGATACTAGTTAACAGGAAGAATCACTGAAAGATTCTGGGTTTTGCACTGTTGTCATTTAAAAAAAATTTGCTAATATCAAAGGGAGAGACTGTAAATGCTAAATTTTAATATTACAATATTGTCCTATTAGCTATTTCAATATTGAAAAATTATACTACAGAATACATTTGATGAAAGCAGGTAGATACAATTGTTAGTTCTTAAGAATCATACAACATCTACTGCAAAACATTTAGAGGGCATGGTGATTTTATCAATCTAGTAAATGTTTTCTTTGCTAAAATTCATAGCTTTGGGTATTTCAGACCTTAACTCACAGGTTGGTAGAATCATAGAAGAGTTTAGACTCAGGTATTTGTGGGGTTTTAAAGATTACCAAGATTGGAGATGCACCACCCTTTCTCTCATCTGTTTCAGGGTTTCACTGTCCCCCAGTTAATTTTCTTTCCACATAGCTACTTGTAATTTGCCATGTTCTGACTTGGATCTGTTGCCTTTTGCCCTGTCACTGTGCATTTAAACAGTCTGCATATTTTATGCCTATTTCTAATGAAAAAAAAAAAAAACCCTCACTGAGAATTAATTTATTGCAAGTTGAGTTCTAAGCCTATTTAGAGTATTGTAAACTATTCATTTGAACAGTAGTGTGAGGAAATTACTCTTTATAGGTTTTGGATGATCTTTAAATACCATTCACATCTATTTTAGGGGTACAATGTAGACACACTAACAATTGACCAAGTAACTCCACTCCATGAAGCTTGCCTGGGAGACCATGTAGGATGTGCAAGAATCCTCCTTGAAGCAGGAGCAAATGTAAGGCTTTTGTTTTCTTTTATTTATATGAACTCCAATTCTAACCTTGGCTTAACTGAGAAGGATATATTCCTTGATTTTAATGTAATTTGTCTCTACTTACCCTATTGGCTGTGCTCATCTCATGTAATTACAGCTGCCATCGGAATGATATCCAATGAGAGTGATGGGCAGCCACTGAGACAGTAATGAGTTGGTGGGAATCTGTTAGCAGTATTCATTCTGATATTTCTCTTCAAAAGTATGGAATGCATTCCTCTGTTTTACTGGGTTCCTTTTGCTTTGAGTGGCTTTCAGGAGACTGTTCTTTTAATCTTCAGAATGTCTGTTGTCACACTGCACCTGCGTGCTCTTAAAATTCTTTGGTATAAGTAGAAAAAAGCACAGTCTCTTTTCTGTGCCACTGACAGAGGCTGTCTTATCTTTTATCCCAAAAAGAAAATGGGACTTTACAGACCACTTCTAGTGCAATGTCTACTGACATCAGAGTTCAAGTGTATAGCTTCCCAGGTCTCTGATCTTTGTAATGGAAATATTTATTGTTCTTAAATTCAGTTTTCAGAACCACGTGGAATACGTCTGTGTTATTACAGAAAAAGAAAAAAAAGATACATAGATATTTCCAAAGCAAATTTCTCCCTACTTCAACTAGCACAAGGATTCTAAAGATACAAAACTATAGTAAAAAAAATTAATTTTCCCTCCTGGTTTATTTTTAGTATTTTTAATTGTTTTGGTGGGTTTGGATCATGCATGGAAGAAGATGGGCCAGAGTCCTGGAAGGAGCCTTCTCCTCATACCTGTGTTCCTTCCTTTAGCATTATTAGTCCTCACAAAGTTGCCTGCTTTGTCTCCTTACTCTATCGCACTGGAAATATTCAGCTAAAGCATGAGGTGGTGAGGTTGGTATTAAAACAGTGAGCCTATGCTATTAGCTTTGTCTCCATCCTCTGAAACATCACTTGAACCTGGAGACTAAAACTGCAGAAGAAAATGGCAAATAATGCCAGAGCTGTGGAGAGAAGATCCCTTTATCTTGTTAGTACACAAAGCGTAAATTTTCTCTATCAGTGAAACAAGCTCAGTGCAATGACTTTTGAAAATTATTTACTGCCTAGATGTCAATATATGCTCTTTAGTATTCCAGGTGTATTTATCCAACACAGTTTAACAAGAATAATAGTAAACTAATTCCAAATGAGAAGCATGGTAACAGGAAGAGTTTCACTCGGACTGGTCAGTTAACTTATTTTAACTAATACTTTGGTTTTTTTTTTTGTATTTTATGCAATTTCTAACTATTTCCTGTTTAAAAATCTACCTTTTTTTTTTTTTTCAATTATTTTTGTAAATAGATTTTATATATTCTAGGTAAATGCTACAACAATTGATGGAGTGACACCTTTATTTAATGCCTGTTCGAGAGGCAGTGCAGCATGTGCTGAGCTCCTGTTACAGTATGGTGCCAAAGCTCAGTGGGAGTCTTGTCTGCCATCACCAACACATGAAGCAGCCAGCAGAGGTAAGAAATTAGCTCCTCAATAAACATGGAGCAGTTGAGCAATGTCTCAGTAAGAGGGTTACAAAATATGTGTGGTTTTGTCCATGAGACATCCTACTGAAGTTGAGCAAACTGTCATGCTTTGTACTGACAGGTCACAGTGAATGTCTGGAGGTACTGATATCCTGGGGTATAGATGTTGACCAAGATCTTCCTCATTTAGGAACACCTCTGTATGTAGCTTGTGTTTCACAGCAGATCCATTGCATTCGAAAGCTTCTTTATGCAGGTATGTCATGATTTAAATAAAAATATTACTGGTTGGTAAAAGCATATTGTATTCACCTTTGAAGTCAGCTGGAACCCTTGCTTGCAGGGTTCTACTTCAAAGTTTACGCTGATTAATATTTTCTTATAACTTACTATTTTTTCATTTTTTGGTGCCATAGTAAACAGAAGAGGAAAAAGAAGCAAGACCAGTAAGAATGAATGTTCAAAATTTTCAGCACATAGTGCAGCCTTGTACATATTAATTTTCTGTAGGAAAAACAAGGATAGAAAATGAACTTTGAGAAATTTCAAATAGTAATCATTGAGATTTCAGTTGAACTATTTTAGCAATGAAGTCCCACTTGCTTTCGTTTTTCAGCAAGTTCTGATCTTTGTACAAAGCATAGAGGCTGAGTTGCAGAGGGAAGGGGTAAGGTAAAAGGCATCTGATCCTAAATTTCATATTATTTATTTAATCAATGGGTAAGAGATGTTGAAGGCTGGGTCTGTTTCAGCACAAGTCCAGGGACACAATTGGCATAGCTGAAAGACAATTTGCTATTTTTCAGGTATTTAAATACAGGGCTTTTGCATCCTGCAGAACAAGGAATTTAAATGTATATATGAATAATTCAGCCTTGCTATCATTGCATCAGAATAGATTTTCTAGTTGATTGCATGCTATATTTAGAACAGGTAGTTAAAGCATTTCTCCTTGAGTCCATTTCCTCGAATGATTAATTATCCTATGTCATGATTTTTTATGGTTAAGAACAGCAAAAGTATAATTAGCATATTTTGGGATTCAAATACTACCATACAGTAAAAAACAGTAACAGAAATGCATATTCTACATTTGTTGGTGCCCTGAAGTAGAAAGGGGTGTATAAATTGAGAATATAAGTAACTACTTATGTAATTTTTTTTTTTCATGTTTTATCAGTCTGTAAGAATGTATTAGAAGTTGAAAAGCAGATAGACAATGAAATAAGCAAGAGAATGCAGAAGAACACTCCAATTGTTAAAATTAAGAACAGGGAATTATTCAGATTTCGGATGCAATTGCTATATACCTGTGACATTATTATTTTATTCAAATGGACATTTAAAATGCAAAAAGTTTTGATTAAGGGAGTAAAGTTGGTACAGAAGGCAATTTTTGGTCTCACAAGGTCAGTAGAAGTCTGAAGAAGGCTGGGTTTTAGATGAACCAACACCCTCCCTGTGTAAGGGAGATTATTTTATACTAGCTAGTTTAGTGTAACTCTTGTAAAGATTTTTTTTTCTTGAATATGAATGCATTATTGCAAATTAATTTAGTTAATTTTAATTTAAAACATGTTAAAAATTACCTATGGATACAAAAGTATACTAATTAGAACCCATGGATTGGGAGAATTAATGGTTTGGTTTTTTTTTTTTTTCCCTGTTAGCTTTCTTGACTGTGTATCTCACCTTAATTAAAATTAAAACTAAATTATAGATTAATAAATAAAGGTTGTATGGGATAGGAGCTTTGCCAGCTTCGACATGTGAAAAATTATAATGCATTCAAGATTACTTTTTGAGTTGGTGTACTCACAAAAATATACATACAAAACTTCAGTTTAGTGATATTTTTTTAAGACTTAAATAAGGAAAGTATATTTTCTATGTAGTGCAAATTTTCTTCAATGTGTACAAAAAGTGTTTTTGATGATTAGGCAACAGTGATGGTTACCTGATATCTTTTTGTCTGGTTGTACTTAGATAATAAAACCTAGGATAAAAAAACAAAACCCAAACAAAACACTGATGTGATTAGTTATAGTTCTATGCAATAAAATAATAATAAAGCGGCTAAATGCACTGTGGCATTCTAGGGCAGTGGTGGTTTTTCTTTGTTTTGTAGCCTCATCTTTCTTACTCAATGACAAATTTAATTAATCTCTCCTTATGTCTCTTTATGTGCATCCACCCACCAGGTGCCAATGTGCAGAAGGGAAAGCATTTGCAAACTCCACTCCATGCTGCTGCCCAGCATTCTAGTACAGAGATTGTAAATTTACTACTTGAATTTGGGGCAGACATAAATGCCAAAAATTCAGATTTTGAGAGGCCTGTTGATTTAGCTGCCCCAAGCAGTTTAGTAGAAAGACTGCTGCTCTTCCACGAAGGTAAGTTTTAGATGTTTATATTTGAAACTGCAACTTGTATTATTAAAAAAACCAAACCTGCCTAGAAAAAACCCCAACTTAACAGTCCAAACAACCCATATTATAGAAGGCAACACTGTGCTGCTATATGAAATGAATATATGAGCATTCAAGTAATTTCCTTTCTAAGGAATATTTAGCCTCAGCAATACTCAGCAATATTTAGCCTCAGGCCAGAACCCATTGACCAAGCAGCATCAGAATTTATATAGGCTGAAAAATTATCATCATATGTTCATTGGGCATTTACTAAAGTAGACATTAAAGCTACATTTTTATTGTTTTTTACAGACCTTGTTAAAAGAAACAGAGTATTTAAATTTCAGGTTAAATATATATTTAATTTTGGTCAGATGTCATGATATTTTTAAATATGTATTTTATGTGGATATAAAGCAAATTATTATGATTGTGGGCAAAAAGCATAAGAAGTTTAATTTTCTAAATTTTCTTTACCAAGTTTTAAAAACCTGAGAAACACGAGATTAAAGAGGCTATAGTTCCTCAAACTTCTTAAAGGTCTATCTGCTTTGGAGAGAGAGAATATTCCAAAGGGAACTGGACTTATTCAGACTGAACTATGTATAATGTAAAAATAAGCCACAAGAGGATGAAACTATTTCAATAACCATGGGCATCTCTTTAGAGGTGAACTGACAACACTGATTCATTTTTTCCTCCAAAAAAACACCCTGTAGTCTGAATGCTACTAACAAAATCCCACTAAAACCACTATGTTTTCATAAATTTACCAAGACTAGTAGTGTTTTTAAGTTAGAGCAAAGAAAAAAAAAATACATGCATGAAAAAGATACAGGTTTATTGTCCAAAGAAAATAGCATTTTGAAGGAGTGGGGGGGCAGAGTGACAAAGATTATGATTGCAGTGATGCATTGGTAGTGCAGCTGGCAGTGCTGTAGCAGGTATGTAACTTGTGCTGTGAATAAACCCAAAACAACAAGTCCCCAATTTTAAAGTTATTGATATCAGATATTTTCTGGAAGCTGGTTCTTAATTTAAAAAACTGATCTTGTCTTGTTTTCTTTAGTATTTCCTTAATTATTATTAAGGTTTAAGCAGCCCCAGTCTTTATCTTTGAGAGCAGAAAGGCAATGAAGGAAAGGGAATGAAGAAAAAGGTCAAATTTGCAAAATGTGAACTTTTTTCCCTTTTTTTTTTTTTAGAAATCACATTTTTATACAAGACTGTTGTAAAACAAAGTGCTGGCTTTAATAATTGTACAATTAAACTCCTTTCTTTATTGTTTGCAGCCACACCATCTTCTCTTTGTCAGCTCTGCCGACTACGTATCCGAAATTACATAGGAAGAGCAAGACTGCATCTTGTTCCACAACTCCAGTTGCCAACAATACTTAAGAATTTCTTACAGTACAGATAACATAGTAATTAATTGTTAAAAACTCAAATATAGTGAGTACATTTTTTTTCCCTCTGTTTATTGTATGTTTTATCTAAAGAACTGCTGGGCGGAAAAAAAAAGCCTTTTGCATATTGCTTAAAAAAATTGTATCTTTGACACCTGGTGTTGGTAATGTAATAGTAATTGAGAGCCATTCAGCAACTAGTGCCAAGGTGCTAATCCAGCTGAATTGAATAAGTGTGCTGATACTCTGGGACATGATTGTATAACTTTATCTTAACCCTTTATAGCTTTAGTGCTGTTAACTTTAATTTTGTTTATGTTTTTAAAATCTGTTTGACACATCTGAACCACAAAGACTTTCTTTATTATTTGTTAAGTTTGTCCATTTGGAGTCAATATTTTATGTATTTTCAAATTTCTGTTGTTCATGTACCTAAAAATACTTGGTAATGGGTGCACTATATGCATTGATAAAAATAAAACAATTAGACATCAATTCTTTTTCTTTTTCATTATATAGAAAATTCATTAATCACAGTGAGAAACTTACTTTACTTTTCCTCACTGCCTGTGCTGTGAATTGTAATTAAACTGATGTGAACTTAACCTCAGTTTTTTATAGCATTCTGTTTACTGGTACAATTAGTAACTTATTTCTCAAAAAGCCTTAATGCGGAGATACTTTTGATATCCTCTTATAAAACAGAATTATATAGGCATTTACCTTATCTTTTCACAACAGTGCTGTATCACAAGCATGAAATGGGCATATTAAATAATTTTTTGCCTCAGAGAAAGGCAAGTTTTAATGTGTAGTGTCTGTGAGGTTTCGGAAAGCATATAGTGGAGATGTGGATACTGAATCTTCAAACTGAGTTCAGCAGCTGAATACAAGGTTTCAAAAATGTCTGTTTTCTGTATCAAGATGGGTACAGCTCATGAAAAGACATTACTTCACTTACTACCTGTTTTGTAAACATTTACCCACTTCAAAAATCCTATTGTAAATTCCCAGAATACTCCAGCAAGCATTTCTGTGAAAAGCTATTGTTCAACTCTAGCCAGAGATAGAATGGTGACACCCCTAAGAGGCATTAGAAAATCCTAAGGCTTTGCTTATGCCCTTGAATTTTTGATGATTGTGATCTGAATAGATTAAAATGCAGCACTCCTCCTTTTGCTGTTCTCATTTGCTGTTCCTTTGAAAACAGATTACTTTCTCAGTGACTGATACTCAGTTCCTGCAAACCAAAGCATGAAAACTTGCCATTTGTCCTTGGTGATTCACCCTTTTCCATTCCTTTTCAGTGACTCCTTTCAGTATTTATGTTTCTACTGGAAAGATGATAAGTGAGGAACTAACTATAGAGGAAGATTTCACAAAGAGGAATGCTTACCCAGTTGCTAAATAATATGCTCCTAATAAAAAATGTAGCTGTCTTGACACTGTTAAATAACCTTACTTTCTTCTGTTCCCTGCAAAAACTCTAGTTAGGGACCTTTTCTGGAGTCCTTGTAAAGAAAAGTCAAATGCAAATATGAGGTGCTGCTTAAGAGTTCATTATATTCTGAATCTGTACTGGAGTGAGTGTAGTGGTTATTTTCATCCAGAAAGTAGCAATTTGTGGTCTTAGGTACAACACCATTGCTGTCTATTACTCTGATAAACAAGCCAAATTTGAACTGCCAAGCCAACCACAGCACTGTAGAACTTCTCCACATAGAATGAGCTCATTTAGAACCTTACCTTCAGGTGTACACATCACTTTTCAAGTTTGATTCAGACAAAGTGGCATATCAGTTTGGAGCAAACATGGCTATTCTGCAAAACACCTGTTCAGAACACAACTAAATAAAGTTAAAAATTCTGCTGAGAGTCACACCAGAATCCAAGCCACCTCATTGCAAATAGGTGTGTTCATGCTCTTGTGGCATTTGCAATATCCATTCCTACCATTCTCCCTGATCCCTGCCACCATCTAAAGAGAAAACAAGACCATCTTTGTAGTTTACAGGTATTTGCTACTTTTTTTTTTTTTTTTTTTTTTTTTTTTTTTTTTTTTTTTTTTTTTTTTTTTTTGGTATACTTATACAGAATAGGAGACGAGTCAGAAGAAACTGGCTTGTGGTAATACCATTACATTGATCTCAGGCAAGAGGTACTTTTCAAAACAAACTTCCATTTTTTGCTAACAGATAATTGTGTGAAAATTGAGTTTATTTTGGCAAGGTGAGCCGAGTTAGTGGTGTTAGTGCTTGGTAAAATCCCTTACAAAAATGATCCCTTGTTTAGCCAGACATGACAGATTTGTTACTGTTCTCATGCTGTCAGGGCCCTATTCCTGTGGCTTTGATGGGTTGAATTCTTAGTATGAAATAAATGTTATATGTTGAAATATTAGGAACCAGAATCTGAAGCAAACAGTGACCCAGGTCAAAGCACTGTTTAATTGCCCTATTATAATAAAGATTTTACTAAATGAACTGTTATACCAATTAAAAAGTGTTCTAAGGCATTTTCAGGAAAAAAAAAATAGTAGTGTAATATGTCAATTCTGGAAAGAAATCCAACAGTGAAATCCTGTAGGCTTGCTGAAAGTATTCCAGAGATCCCCAGGAGGTACTCCACTGGCAGGTGAGAAAGCACGTGGAGTACAAGGTTCTCCCTGTGCTCCTCCTGGGCCTGTCCTGGCCCTGTGGGGATGCTCGGCTCTGGCCATGGCCAGTGCAGAATTACTGACCCAGCCTGGCTGGAGCCCTGCACAGGGTGGAACCAACAGGGCATCATTCCAGCCCACAACATGGGTTTAAAGTGCCAAATCTCCTACCTCAGACTGCAGCTGCCAGTGAAGCTGTCTCTGAGGCTTATAAACATGTCAGTACTGTTGGACAGATTATTCCCATAGAACAATGGATTTGGTTTTGCAGGGATGTTGAACATAACAGAGATTTTATAGTAATTGGAAAGCACTAGCTGTGTAGCTTCATGTGTTTTTTCATTTAAATGAAAATATGACTTTTACAGAGGAGTCAAACAGTCTTTTGAAGACAAAGTATTCTTTAATATTAAGGGGGAGATACCTGTATTTGACTTGCTGTACTAGACAACAAAGCTACATATTAGCAAACTGAAATTAAAAATGATGAACCAGTGTACAGTTGCAACCACAGCTGTAACAGCAGACACAATCACAACCTTTTCTGCATATTCCTCTTACTCCCCACTGTACAAACAACTTCAAGGAAAATGCAACTCGTTATTCACAATGACTGTTACCTGATGGATCCCAAATATGAAAAATGCCCTTTGACTTAATTTTTGTATTTTAGTAAGGAAAGAATTCTTAATCCTGTAATTTAGAGGGAATAGATTTTCCCGAAATTCCATGTTAAGGCACAATTTATGTGCAACACATTGATGCAGTTATACTACATATTAAAGATATTTTAACTGTGAAATATTAGTAAAAATCATTATGATACAACAAAAAAATTTAAGTACAGTAGAATGGTAGTTGAGTCAATGCTTCAGATCTCAATCCTCAGTCACAGGGCTGCACGTTCAGTTCTCATGTTTGCTCTCCACCTCTATATCAACAACTTTTACATACGAGGTTGTACAATTTATGGGCTAAAAGACAGATAGTCTTTCATTTGACAGAAGCAAGATCAGACACTGACTGATGGAAAATTCTATCAAAAACTAAGAATTTTAACTTCTGAAACAAAATGCTTCTCCAAACTCCATGGAGTAAACAAAGGAAAAACATTTTCAAAGAATACCTGCAGGAAGTAAAAGATTCTGTTCAGCACCCAAATACATACAAAAATGGGGTTTTTAGGGTACAAAACAGTTGTGTTCCCTCTACCCAATATAATTTTACACCAGAAGCCCTGTAATAATACTCTAGAATATTTCCAGAGGGAAATTTTACTATTTTGAAGAGGGAGGGGAAAAAAACCAACCCAGGATTTTATTTTATTTCTAATTTCCATCCCACCTTTCCAGCATGGTGGCATTGTTGTTTCTATAGTTAAATAAGGGCAAGGTTTACCTATACATTGAGGCTTTTTCTGATAGGATCTGCTAGAGACCTGACACAATTTCCAGTTTTACAACAGTTGCTATAGAAATAATTCTACGAATTTTTAAATGCAACCTCTTTATATTTAATGTAACTATCAGGAAACTAAATAAATTTTAAAATTTATTTTAAAGCAACAGCAAAAAATGTAAGAACAGATAAAGTAGCTTTCTGCTTATGTGCTGTCAGTTAAGCTAATAAATAGTATTGTAACCATTGCATCTTTTCTACAGATGAGCAATTCTGATTATAAGAATAATTAATAAGAATAATAAGTATAATATTTTACTTATAATTAAATTCCATATTATACACAGCTTTAAATTTTAAATATTTTTAGTATTCTATTGCCATATTTTCCATATAAGCGCGGATTTAGTAAATAAAAATATATATGCACAAGTACTTACTTCTGGTCTGTCATATTATATGCATGTTTAGAACTAATACAAAATGTAAAGAGAAAAAAAGCTTTTAAAATGTGCATAGCATATTTAAATTACTTCAATAAATATGCTGTTTATTCTATACAAAGCCTTTGTTAAAAAAGCAGAAAAATTTATAAAGAGTTTTAGTCTCTGGTGAAAGTATAATGGGGAATGTTGTCAAATATGATCCTATTAGAAAATATAATTTTGTAATCTGGATAATCTAAATAAATAAATGTTTAAAAATATAATCTAAACAAAACATAGTCTAAATAAAACATAAGTAACCTTCTATTTGAACTGCTATTAAAACACAATTACAAGTGGATGGAAAAAAACACCTACTCTTTAAATTTTACTTTTGGTATAGAACCCTGTGTGTAAAAATTAGTTCAAATCAAAAAGGGGGACAGTGTGATACAGCCAAAATATTCCAGTCATTCTAAAAAAAGGTTGGAGTTGCTGTCAATAAAGTCATTTTATGATTATATATTTGGAAGAAGGCTTATGGGTTTCACAGTTTGCCATCAATATTTTGTCCTATGTAGACAGTTGCTTACTTTACAAAGCATCTATTCACAAAGAGCTGACAAAAAAAATTGTCTGATGACAATATTATTACTAAAAAAAATTACATGGCTATATATTAAATTAGGACTTTTTCTTTGGATTATCAAATAACTTTTTTCTTTGGATTCTCAACAAACATTTGTATAGAAATCCTTTTGTTCTCATTTTAAAATTTTCAAAGTTCAAGTAATTGACTTTCAGGAGGAATCAACTACTGCCTCTCTGTCCTTTGACAATCAAGGTTAAATCAGCATTAACTCCCAGAGTGTTATTTTAAGCACTATAAAGTACAGAGGAAACACCTAATCAAAATGGGTTAAGTCGTATTCCTGTTCCTAATGGTGAAAAAGGATTCACTTTGGCCCACATCAAAGCATCATTCAGTGAAATTGCAGATTTTCCATCTTCAAGGAAGAACACAGGACCCTGTAAAATAAAAAAGTTTGGGAAGGGAGAGAAAAGGAAATTATACATGGATTGTGTAAAGGCCACAACAAATAGTACATTTTATCTCAGAAGAACATAAAAATCTTGTTTAGATCTATCCACTATATTTTTTCCCACTCACTTAAAACTCTGATAACAGCTACATATTATGAATTGAGGGCACTTATGTTCCCAAACCTCTCAGCCCAAATTTTCATAATATTTTTATTTTTAGTTTGATGTGTTTTATTGTTATTTTATATATGCTTGTCAATAACTCCAGAGTTAAATTTAGTTTGAATTAGAAACTGAGCTGCCAGGCATCTTTCTTCGGAATACTGTCCATATTTCATCATAGCTGTCATTATTTCTGCTGATCGTGCCTTTTCCTATCTACAAAAAAAACCCCTCGATATAATGTCTCCATGAATTACTTGAAAACAAAGAATCTACATACAGTCTACAGAATTATTTAAAATATTCACTATGAAAAGGACAAAGTACTCGTTCATGTGATGGAAAAAGAGCTATTTGCTAATTTATTATTTTGACAAAATCTGCTCTCAAAGCTGCAGTTCAATTTCAGTGCTTTCTTAAAAATTTATGCTCTCCAAACTTGCTATGTAAAACTTGTAAACCCACACAAGTAGGCTTCCCTGCTTTAGTATTAACTGATTTTGGTTGTTGAGCTGATCTGCATGCCTAAAGCCATGACTCCTAATGTATGCTAATCCAGAAATAAGGATCCTGCAGATGACAAGCTGGTGACACCATATTCGCTATTCTTGTTGAATGCACTGTAACATTGGCAGCTTTACATGGCTGTTAGCAAATGTTGAGAGCACAACCACAGACAGAGACCACTGATCTAATCTGGAAGTGTTGAGAGCAAGTTTTTTTAGATTGATGGTGAGCAGTTGAGAATTTTGTTTACCTCAAAAATCTCACTAGCATTTTGTAAACTCCATTTTTTTTCAGAAACTATCCATCTTTCTTAGTCCCTAAACCATCCTGATACTCTTTGGGCTGACATCTTACTCTGGACAGCATCACCTAGGAAAGTAAATTCACACTGAAGTGTTGTCTGGAGTCAGGAGTAGTGTTTTCAGAATCTTTCCATTTTCTCTTTATTAAAATAACAAGATATACTAAAGAGGAGTTATGAGGACTAATGAGTATTAGTCATAAAACTCAATGTAAATGATGAATACATATATTTGAATATTTTGTCCTCCAATATCTGGATTTAATTAGACATGAATTCCACGTTTTATAATATGCATTTCCGTAGAGATAAAAATCAAAATCAGAAGAATATTAGTACGTGGTTGAAGACAAATAATTTCCTGACTTATTCAAGCTGTGGTGAGGGAGTAGCCAATAAGATGCATGCACTTTAGACACAACATTTGGCAAAGGAAACCTTTCACATGTAAATTAAAACATTTTGGATTTGGGAAATGACAACTATTTGACATACAACAATTCTTTATAGACCCTTTCTTACATAGCAGATGTCACTGCCTGTCACCTTTAACTCTGCTCCTGTGATAACAGGGAAAACCTTTTTCCAGCCAAATGGTGGGAGGGACCTTTGATTTATGGCAACCTCACAAGTAGTCAGTGCTATCAGCAAGAAAGAACACTTCAGCCCTCTGAAACCATACCTGGATCTTTAGCCCTGTCAAACAAGAGGTATGAACATCTGAATGACTAGGAAGATTTGATCCAGTGACACAGTCTGGCCCAACCATTCCTTTCAGAGGCTCCCCCTGAATTCGCGAGACAAGTACTGAATACAGCGCTCTCTGTGATTCAGAGGGCGGGGTGCATGGCAACTCATCCATAGGCCTAGGAACATAAAAAATATTTGGTTTTCAGCTTGGCTTCCTAATTTGTGTTAGAACTTAAGACCTGCAAAGCAGTGACATTCAGACTTTACAAAGGGAATAAATTTACAACTAAACAGTTAAATACTGCTAGTCTTACTCATGGTAATTTTATATTTTTCCACCTACTTGTATGATTGTGTGCAAGCTCTCCATGCATCTAATTCCTCAGAAAGCTGTTCAATTTTCAAAGGTACAGATACTTCCCGTCTTTTTAAAAGCTGACTGAAAAGGAATGCAAGTAATTAAAGTCCTAATTAATCCTAATAATGACTATTTTCTTAGAAGCAAAACATGATAGACAGTAGTAAAATAAAATTATTTCCGATTGGATATGAAATAACTATGGAAATAAATTCATCCTTCACAATATACACTATATTAAATGTAAGTAATACTCATACAAGTTACAGAAGTATAGCTTTAGATTTAAATTTTATTTTAATTATCCCTATTTACACCTTATTTAATTTGCTGTATTTTTTTTAACTTGAGGCCACTTTATTATGTGTTTTTATTTCTTACTATTGCCAGCTTTACTAAAATTAAGGATCCATTTTGCCTGCATGTACCACATATGGTAAAAATGCAATTAGAGAAACATGGTTCAACACATACATTGGGTGGTCAGCCTTGTTTCACTTGCAGAAAGTAGTTTCAAAGCTTTGCAGTGGAAGCATTTTTTATTTTTCAAAATATAATATAGGGGGCAGTTACTACCTGACCTAATTCTGCCATCTTTCATTTGTGTTGGTATATCTTAAAAATGTCCTTCTTAAGCATGTAAATTGTTCACCTTAAGCAGGTGTCCAGTTTAAGATGGGCCAGAAACTAAAAATCTGTGATTCTTGAAGATATTGGGCAATCAAAGAATGAAACTTTGAGCGGTATTGTTCTGTGGTTCTTTACATAATAAGTAATTGAAAATCTTACAGCCAAAAGTATCACAGAGTCACAAAGACTGCTTGTTACTAGTCTAATAATAACCATATCAGAATTGCCCTTCTGTAAAAGCTGTATTTAATCTTGTTATTTCATTAGTTCAGAAAAGGAAAAAACAAACCAACAACAAACAAATGCTCCTTTTCCCTTTTCCCAATCCTCTCACCAAGTTTCAGACATGAGGATAGCTACGAGGAAAGACATGTTTTAATGATGGGATGTGAAGAAGTGGGCTCAATGTATGGCATATGTCACAATAAGGATTGAGACTACTCAGAGTTAATGAAAACACAGTATTACCTTGTATACTCATACAGTGCAGGTACAATGCTATTGTACTGTCTTCTGATAGCAAGTAAAGCACCAATGTAACCACACAAAATCAGCAACTCATTCCGAAATCTAAAAATGAACAAGTATCAATCGTGAAAAACAGCAAGCATTGGAAAAACATTAAACAAGCTCATATTCATGCTATAATTTTAAAACCTAATTTATCCATCCACCTTTGTGTAAATTTTTTTGCTAATTTGCTAAGCATAATTGCTAATTATGCTTACTTTCTGTGTCACAGACTTGTTAAAACAGACTCCATCTGCTTCATATTGATCTCTATTATTAAATTTTATATGGCATATACAACACAATTTTTAAGCACAATCAAATAGAGTTACACAAACAACATCACTCAGATGTTTTAATGTGCATGGAACTTTAAATGTAAATAAAACTGCCCCAAGTATTAGTGTAGATTTCAGTTTCACCAAGTTTCCCCAACTTTTTTCTCCTTTTTGTTCTTCACACATATAATTGTGTAGGCACCTAGGCCTAGCTGCAAACATCCATCATAAAGGTGAACCAGAGCTATCCAACTATTTTAGAGTTAATTCTGAGAGTGGCAGCCCAATGTTCCTTAATACTTTGACATAAAAGCCCACATGATTTGTGATACCACTTCAGCAAACTGAAACCAGAGCTGATCAAAGTGAAGTCTTCACATAAGACCAATATTGATTCACACATTGTAAATACTCCACAGAGAATATTTTTTTTTTTCTTGCTAAACTTTCGTAGTTTTGGAGAGTCCACATTCTATTCTCCAGACTGGACCAAGCATGCTCACTGGATTTTTTTTTGTGTCCCTCTTCTGTTAAACAAAAAAAAATTACACTAACAGTGTGCACCTATATATATACAATCGGAAAGATTCCTTTAAGAAAAGTCCCACTTTTCTAAGTCAGGAAAATATACTCACTCACTACACTTAGGCAACATTAACTGTTCAGTCCGTATGTAACTTAAAAGATCAAGATATGGAAAGACTGAATCTAAACTCCAATCTGAGCCACACAGTTGTTCTGTTGAAAAATAAACAGAAAAATATCTCATGTGGAAAGTTATACAGATGACTTTTGCTTTAAAATTGTTCTTCATCCAACCACCTACCTTTCACATACTGAATGCCAACAGGGAGAGCCTTTTCAGGTTCTGTGCTTAACAGATAGTACTTTATTGTTTCAAATACATCCCCATCTGCCTGCATTGTCTCTGCCACTCGCATACATTCTTCCACATCAGGAAGATTACACTAGAAAACAAATATTTTGCCAGAAAAATTACGGAAATGTTCAAACACTTCTCTAAGATGCTGAGAAATACTGATGTTTGCACACAACAATAAGAAAAAATTCCCTCTGAAGTAGTCCTTGAAAGACATACCTGCATATAATGCACATTAATAAAGTAATCTAGACCAGAGCACCAGTGGAAAAGGCTCTGTAACTTTAATTTAAACAGTGGCAATTTTCATTACTAATGTTTTTGTGACATTTTTACTACTGTTTAATAAATGTGCAGTCTGAGTTGCACCCTAAGGGAGTAAAATCAAAGCAGACCCTTCTGCTGCAGAAGAGGAAAGGGGGCATTTATGGACATTACAGGAATAGGACATAAAACAATTCAGACTACAGAAAGCTGATCTGCCAAAACATGATTAGGCTGCACATCTAGTAGGTTATAAATCATACTGACAGGTAATTATGAAGATCATAAGCTACTTCAGAAAGTACCATGTGTCAGGGAAAGAGTGCACCAAGGACAGAAATGAAGAACCAAATTTATTGTACAATACTGAAAATAAAGTCAACAAAGACTAATAGAGGAGAAAAGAATACATTACATATAAGACAGTAGAGACAATTTCATCCTAGGGTTTTATATTTCCTTATGTTTTTTTGAAATTAGTAAATACATCAATACAAAACCTTATTAGATTCAGGTAAATTCTTTCACATTGTACCTTTTCATGCAGGTCATTTATTTCTGCTATGCATCCAGGATAAAAAGCACATAGTTTTACTAACTGCAGTTTATTATCAGGGATCATCATAAGAAGATCAACTGCTAAATCCCTGCGCAAACAAAAGATTACATATTGTTACTCTTGATGGTTTGTAATAGAATGAAACACTTTTACACTCTTTATAAAAGAAGAGTTTACTGAAAAAATACTTGCAGAAGCAAGCTCAGTCTCTAAAATATTTTTGTTCAATAAATGAGGCTTAATTATTCACCTTATTGGGAAAGTCATTCACTACTTTTCTACTGCTTTCATTGGTTGAATTAAACAGCTGTGCAATTCTTAAGCCTCAAAGCCATCTCAAAGTGAAACGGAAGAATATGTGAGCAGGGATGGGAAAGGAAAGTAGGAACCCTCCAACTTGAGAAAAGAAAAGATGATAATGTAGTTCTGTGTCATGAAACCATCCTCAAAATTCCAGGCATCTAAGCTTCATGACATCAATATAGGACGTTTCTTGGTCATCCAGAATGGCTTGGTGCTCATGTGACATTGAAATAGAGAGATTATATGGGAAAAAAAATGTGATACCTATTTTCATCCTTCTCAAAGGAAAACTATTTTAACAAACTGACATTTCTCACATTTTCCTAAACTTTTTACCATTTGTTACCCTATCCTTCATACAAGAAACAACTGAAGGCAATGCATAATATTAGGAAATTATTTGGATATTGTTCTATTTAAGTTGTCATGACTGGTTATTCTGTGACTTCTCTATTCATGCAGACATCATTTCTCCTGTGAACCTCAAAACAGACTTGCCCCTCTGTAAGGCAAAAAATCCTACTGATTTCCTCTGGATTTTCAGAATGTGGGCCTTTGCTTAAAAATGTTCAAGTAAGCTATTATCCAGTATTTACAACTGCTTTCTATCTCACTTTCAAGTATTAATCACAATGAAAATTTAGGACACTTAGAGAAATTTGAAAAGCTTGTGACTTTATTAAGGGAAAAATAAGCTTAAACATTCTCCAAAAAAGCAAAATACCTGTATCCAAGTGATGGGAAGCTAAAAGGAAGACATTGAAACAGTATTGAATAAAATTTTGTATTATTTTACAAAGAAAATATCTGATAGAAAATAATTAAACTACAGCAGCAAATCTAAGGGTCAGGCAACTGACTTCAACAGCAACAACAAAAGACAGCTTTCTCTTTTATGCCTTTTGACAAGATAAAGAATCTCATGCCCAAAGGTCTTTAGAAAATCTGTGATATTATTAATGTGCAATAGCCACTTCTCCAAGTTACAGAAGCATTCTTTCAGAATCTAGGATATTTCACAAGTTCTTAAGCTATTTTCAAGATCAGTCACTCATATGTCCTAAACTTCATAAACAATTTAAACATTTTTAAGTGATGAGAAATTGTCTTGTCAAAAAACTGAAATCCTATGTTCATTTGAAAAAAAGTAATTCAAATAAGATAATGGCCTACAAATTGTGCTAGCTTAAATTATTTTTAAGAATCTGGGATTTTTAAGAAACTGGAATGATTTTGAAGAATCAAACTGAAAACACTAACTATAAAGATGAAAATGAGGTAGCTGAGTTTACATATGCAGAGCTCAGTATCTTACGTAAAATACGACTAGCTTTTTGAATAATAGAAAGTTGCTTTTGACAGTATTTAGGTGTTAAATACAAATAAAAATGTGTCCTTAAACACTCACATATTTTCTCAAGTCTCTAGATTTGGGAAAGTACATGAATGTTTAGTTTTAAATTAGTTTTTGTTGATTTTATATTTTAGACCATTTCTAAAAACAACCAACTAAAACCCAAGCAACATTCCACTAGTAATTGATTTCTTTATTAACCCATCAAAATCCTTCTGGTATTTCTTTTACTGTCTACAATTAAGTGCCTTGCTACAGTGAAATGTTTCCAATTGATGGATATCCCTAAGGATAACAACCAGTAACAATAAAAAGGGAGCCCTTCAAATATCAGAGACCCTTGAACTCCAGCTTCCCTATACATGATCTTATGAGTGCAGTTAACCAAGGGGATTATGCTGTGTGAAAATCTCTTTATTACAAAACAAAGAGATTCATGAATCTCTTGATTTTTTCCTACAGAACATAAAAAATATGCTGCAATGGCTGAAAACCAGAATCCAGGATTGCAAGGTGTTCAGTACAGCATGTGAAACCCATTGAAAAATCTAGATGTATATTTGGACAATATGCAGTATACCATTTAAAATTATTATCACTTATAGACTTTATCACCATGTAGACTTCAGTGTACACATGCTGTAAGTTTACAGAACCTTTATGGACATAAACATGAATGCCATACCATTATAAGCTCTAATTCCAGCCCTGAGATCAGAACAAGCTTTTGTTATAGAGTTGGAAAAAATATACACTGTTTTTTTAACTCCACATCCAATGCTTCCTATTGGAGGCTACATAAAAATCACCCTTAACAATGAAAGAGCTTCAGACACCTTAAAAGCTGCAGACGGAGTTGCCAAAACAACTCTATTAAGACTGGTGCAATGCAGACATACAAAACCACTGCAAAATGAAAGCAGCAAGTAACCAGTTTCTTATTTTATCTTTTTTTCTACAATGCTTCATTGTTTAATGAAAGCTAAATATTCTGTAGAGAGGAGTTCCACTATGTTTCTCCCAGGCTACCTCTAGATACATTAGGAAATACTAACTGTAGAGAAAAAAATGATCTTTAACTGTTTAATCGCACATTTTCTGTGAAATGTTAATTACAAACTAGTTATACAGCTGCCAAATACATCTTAGAAAGGTTTTCTGCTTTTTCATTGTTATGATAAAAAACAAGAAGTTGTACTCTTCAAAGTAAAACCACTACAATGAGGAACAGAAAATTTACCACAAAAGGTTTACCCTATATGCAAGAGAGAAGTTACTTCTGCAGAATTAAATAGAAATCCTGTTTCACACTTAAATCTTTGCAGGAGTCTTGTTTTCCTAACAACATTAGAAGATAATTCCTAAGACAAATAGTTTTAAATTTTTCAATCAAGTACTTAAAAATCACTTCACATATCCTTGAGCTCTCCCTTTTGACTTTTTGACTCAATTCTAGCCTTACTTTTTTTGAAGCAATTCTTTTTACTCAGTACAAACTAGGACTTGATAAGCTACCTATTGCCCAGGTAGCTAGGGTTTTTTCAGTGGGTTTCATACTCTGACAATGACTCCTCTCTCATTTACAATGCATACAGAATATATTTTGAAATTAAAACAGAACATTTGCATGCCTTGTATTTCAAAGGTCTAATATAGCAAGTCTTATTCAAGCAGCAGTTTTTATTCTCCCTTTCTATGGTGCTTTGATCTCTACAAAGGTTTCACAATGAAACACCTTGATTGCTTTGTCAGGGAGAAAATCTTAAAAATCTTCTTCGGATTAAGAAATTCTTACCATGTTATTACTGCCATACATTTTCTTGCTAGTAATTCTAGGGCATAATGTGTTGCTTGGGCTGCACTTTCTCCCAAGACAGTACCCACACTGATTGCCAGCTCCAGTTCATTTCCACGAATCAGGTTTGCCATCGCAAGCTTGCTCAATGAGAAAATAATATTATTAAAGGACATAAGCAGTTTTGGACATTCATCACGCTGAGCATATGACATTCACTTATGACATGTTTTACAGAAGGACAAAATATGCAATAGTTAATTATATATATTTTGGGTCTCTTGAATGAGTAAATAATTATGCACCATATGGTTTCCTTTAGCAGAATCTTCCTTTATTCAACTGAAGAGCTCACACAAATACAACAACTAAAATGCATGCTAGGAATTCAATTTAATCTTAAGGACACTAGCATTCAGAGTGTGTATTTTCCCCTCTCAATGAGACTCAAAAACCCCAGAAAACAGGAAAGATTGTCCTGTTCTTACTCTCTCTGAGCATAACTACTGATAGCCACAGCAGAATGTCAAACCCTATGAAACTACTACACAACAACTTCAAACATGCCTATTTAGAAATATAGGAATTAACTGATTCTCAGTTTGTCTCAGAATAGCTCATTGGGATGGAATTGTATTTATTTGAGGGGACAGAGGAGGAAAAACATGTTAATTCAGCAATACCAAAATCCAGATAAAATGAGGAAAATAAAAAATTTGTAAAACTACAAGCTAATAAAAAACATAATAAAATGTTTCCTTTTTTTGTTTGTTTCTATTTTCCTACTGAGGGGTGGGGTTTTTTTTTCCTATTTACTTGTTAATTTAGACTGCAAATTCTTAAAGGTGGATGATTGCATCTTCTTTAGCCCAGTAACTTCCAGTTCTGAATGGGTATTTTGGGTCATCATAAACAGTAGCACTTAGATGTACATATCTAAGATACTTAAGTATCTTATATTTGTCTAATATAGCAAGATACTGCAAATAAAATTCAGCAGCAACATGCTATCTTCTGTGCACGAGAGAAACCTTAAATTTAATAGCATCAAGGGAGTTCTGCTACTACCTTTAATATTATAACTACCTAACCCTCCATAAATATAAAAAAATCAAATACCAAATACCATTTTAGAATGTGATACATACAGTTTAAAACATGTGTAGAGATGTAGAAAGGAAGTAAATGTTGTCTTCTTCATCATTAAAGAAAAAAAAAACTTACCTCTATATTTTCAACAGCTAGATGACAACATGCTGCAAGCACTGCATGGCCATCCTGGAAATACCAATCTGCCAGTTCTTTACTGACCTTTTGCAGGAGACTGCAAGAACAAAAAATTAATTCTGCAAGGTCACTTCAAGGTTGGAGTGCCTTGGGTCTTAATTTATGTAAAATTCACCACATTTGCTTCTGTACTCTAGAAGTTGCTATATTTGGCTCGTGGATAATGATACTAGTAGGTTGAAAAATGCAATCTGTTTGAGCTTCATCCACTAGTTATGTGGGTGCATACTGAGGTGGGTCAGTTCCCCAAAGTTTACATTAGGAGGAAATGTCTCTTCAGATTGACAGAAGAAAAATCAAGTATTTGGATATCTAATCTGTACCTGTAAACTTGACACAAGTACTTCTCTAATTGCTCAAAAACTGCTCATGTAAATGAAGTAACTACACAGCCTCCAAACTGGTTTTTTTACTACAATTATAACCTGATAATGTAATTCAGGTTTTTGAGTGCTGTTCCAGACAATAGGTGCATATTTGGGGTTTTTTATGAGCACAGACAATGAGAATCATTGTATCATAAAATGGCTTGTGTTGGAAGAGACCTTTTGAGATCATTCTGTTCCAAGCCTTAAGATCATTCTGTGCCTTCCCCTAGATTCAGTTACTCAGAGCCACATCCAGCCTGACCTTGAACATTTCCAGAGATGGGGCAGCCACAGCTTCTCTGGGCAACCTGTTCCAATGCCTCACAGTAAAGAATTTTTTCCTAATATCTAATCTAAACCTACTCTCTTAGTTTGATTTTATTACATTATCAGAACCTTTCCTGGTGACAAACAGCAAAGTTTCCAGAGGAGATTATGTGTTATACCAGGGGATCACAGATACTTGTTAATCTAAACCTTACTCATCAGAAGTTCTCAGTTAATATGCTATATATTTTAGTGCACAGGAATGCATCTTACATACTGAACAAGTGAAAATGACATTTATAATTATAATGCACACATATGAAAAATCCATTTTGTGTCAGGGGGCACAATAGGGTAATTAGTGTAGCATCAAGTAATTAGTAACTCTACTAACTAAGTACTAGAAGATGCAATATTTTGTTGAACTCTACATTGCTGATGCCAAATTAAACCACCATACTTTATCACCCTTAAAAACTTTACACTCTGCAGTAAAATGACGTTTATAGTTATAAACTAGAACAACTTACTCATTATAATCATCTGTATTGTTTCCATCAGAATTTGAAGTTCCACTTGTTGTGGAGAGTGGTAACATCTGTATATTTCCTTCACAAGCTGCCTGGAAGTGAATAAAATATAGATTAATTAATGCAGAATTCAATCTGAAGATAAAATGAAATTTTAAAATAACAATAAAAATAATCTAAGATATATAAAAAACTTTCTAATTCCCAGTTATAGAAAAGAAAATGTTTGAATGTTTAAACCAAGGAACTTATTTATAGTTACTACATCATATTATAGTTAAGATTTAGCTAGCTAGTTTTATCTAGCCATACAAGAATTCTACTGAAGCAAAAGACTTCTTCTTTTCTATGCATTTGTGTCAGATCCTTCAGCATTTGGATATAAAGGATGGTGAAGGCTACAACCTTGATTTTTACACCCCAAAGAGCAAGCAGCTCTGAGGGAAAGATGAAGTCCACAGATGCTTCTCAGCAGGAATACCAGCAAAACTGGAAAGATTTGGCATATAGTGGCTTAAGGTGAACTTTTCTTTGTATCTGACAATAATTTATTTCTAACATTAAATACAAAGACATCAGTGTGGGTTAAAATGAAATCAGCTGACAAAGTGGTGGTTGGTCAAGGGTTGAACTCAATGATCTCAGAGATCTTTTCCAACCCAATTGAGTCTGTGATTTTTTTAAAAATTCTTTCACATGCTTTAAGATATAGCTGGGATAACAGCCTTAAACCTCAGGGCTCAGTTACAAGGGAAGGTAAACTCTGGCACTATGTTGCTCATTATTATCTTATTAAACCTTTGAGACAAAGACTATTCTATGAATTGTAGTAGCTCTGCAATACCTCTCTTACATGAAAAATTAAGGTCTTTATGGAGCTTTAACTTGTTTTAAAGTTCAAACACTGTAGTTAAAAAAAATCTAAGCATGTGTCAAAATTACATTCTGTACATTATTCAGCTAGTTAGCTAAAATATAAAGATGATTTCTCAGTAGAAATTCAAGAGAAATCAAATCCTACATGAATTTGATGTTAAGGGCAATAGCAGCTATTGAAAATCAGGTTCCATTTCAATTGAAATTGAACACATCAGTTTCATTAGGGTCATTTGATTGCAGTTTAGAAGAATCAGGCTTTAAATATGTAAACATGAGATTACTCCTTCTTATGATTTCTGCATAAAAACTGGTCAATACCACATGGAAGTAAAGACTACACCATCATTATTCAGCTATTTTGCCTTTTAAATATGAATGTCATATTCTGAATTATAAACTAAGAGCTAAATACATCTCCCACACTGGTATATATATATATGTAATAATACCTGTGCAACAAGTAGAGCCTCTTTAAGCTGACCTCTTGAAGTAAAGAAAGAAACCAGTTTCTTCACATCTCCAACAGCTATACAGTATGGGATGACATCATCATTTTCTTCCTGAATTAACTGATCAGCTCTCCTATTTAAACAAATGAATAAATAAACAAGAAAGAATCATATATATGAACAATCACCAAATTTAACTACATGGTAAAGCTGAATAAAGTTCACTGAAACCCATCTGCCTTTCCAGACTTACAAACTGTGAAAACTGCCCCTAAAGAGTTTATAAAGTTGCAATTTATGTTCAACCCTTTGATTCTTGTACACAAAGTTATTGTTGAAACAATAAAACTAAAAACAATAAATCCACAGTTCTATCCCAAAGCTTACTGAACAAAAAGTAACATCACTAGAACGCTGTAACAAATATATCTGGTAATAGTATCCATCCTTCCTACTTGTCTGTGTCCTTTTGTGAACTGAAGCTACAATTTGCCATCATTTTCTAATTAACTTACCTTTGCATTAACTTCCTCCAATATTTCATAGACACTCCAGGTGCAACTGAGAGAGCTTTGTCCCACTAGAAGAAAGTAGTAATACAATTAACTTGATAATTTTCATTTGAAAAGCGCCATATTTTAGACTAGTGTAACTTTTCTTCCATTAAAAATATATTTGTCAAGAGTTAAATAAGGAATGAGTTATGCTTTACACTGCATATATTAAAAATAAGTGGAACAAGATTTTTTGGGGACTTGTGACCCATTCATTGCCTCCCCATCTTTGCTAGGGTAGCTGGTTTTCAGAAACCTTTATATATTTTTATTCTTCAATAGTGTTCTGATATTTTACCTCTCCAAGTTCTACCATTAGCTCACAATATCGCTGAATTTGTCCTAATCTTAAATGTATTTCTGCAGCTTCTTTGAGTCTTTCCTCTTTGCTTGGTGCACCAATACCACCTCCAAATTTAGACATCTTTACTGTTGTCAGTTCTTGTGCCTTGGACTGAGGGAAAAAAAAAAAGATTAAGAAGTTTTCTGTAATGAAAAAAAGTTTCCTTAAGAACGAACTATTGCTAAATATTACAGCAGAAGATAAAGGTTACAATTTAAGAAAAAATCCTTTAGCAAAAAGGCTAATTGAAAGAGATTTCAATGAGATTACAGTGAATTATATGTTGTTAAAGTAAATGTGTTAGTGTTTTATTGTTCATATACATTTTCATTTATTATCTTCCTATAATACATTAATTTTTAATTCTCATATATAATAGTAATTCATCCAGATGTCCCTCATAAAAATCTTGATATTATGAAACTTAAAAAAATAAAAATTGTGAACATAAACCACACAGAGCTGAAAACTGTACATATTACTGTTATAATAATGTCCACACAAAGGAATAACAACAACAGTAGGCTTAACTATTAGACAGCAAGCTCTGTGATCTGATCTGTCATGCCCCATTGACCTTATAGCCAAAAAATTATTTATATTCCCAACTTCTGCAATTTTTATATTAGTTGGGAAGATAAGACTAAATTTCTTCATCTGGCAGAGTCTGAGAAACAGGTGGCAACAGAATTATATGTACAGGAAAAAAAAAAAAACCAACAAAGGGAAATTTTCATTTCAAGAATTCTCAGATGAATTCTATCATCACGATTATGGCATTTGGTTATTCATGACTTTGCAGTACCATACATAGAAGATGAAGAATGAATTTTGAACATCCTTCATCAAAGTAAACTGCCACATAGATCAATGGCAGCTACCAAGAATCTGTTTTTTTTTTTAATACTGTATTAATTATTTTTTCTCAGCACCTGTATATTTTTATTATTTTCATGCTAAAGTCTGCAATGCATCCTCTCTGTTTACTAAAACCAGAAAAAACAGAGTTGGTCTACATCCTTATTTCATCCTGAAATGTATAGGTGCTGCAGTGCCATTATTTAGTTTCCTAAGGAAAAAAGAGTATTAGCAGTCCTTAACAAGCAGTCAGCATTACCCTACTCCTTACTTTCTCTTAGAGCTTTCAAACAAGATTGTGTCAGCAACGGGAAAAAATGCTTTTAATTAATGTAAACACTTAATCCAGGTACACAGAATGACCAGCAATTACTATAGCTACTCTAGGTCACTGGACTTATAAATGCATGAAATAATTTTGCAGGGCTAAACAGGCTGCTGGCGATGCACACATCAATATTTAATGTCTTCCCAGGCTAACTGGCTGAGAAAACTGTTTTTTTGGACACATGGACACACAAACAGAGCTTCATAGGATTAGCAGAGCAGCTGCTATTATGACAGTTAATAACACTAATAAACTTTAATCGCTTGAGAGTCAAAAGGAACATAGGACACTCTAAGACAGCCTGTGATTTTACAAAAGAGACAGCATGTAACAGCAAACAACAGGTGATACCTGGCAAGTATTAGCCCTGGGGCTGGCAAGTGCATTCCCTGATTCATACCAGTAGATCATCTTTCCTCTATTTACAATCTAGTCATTAGAGTACGGGATTCTTTAGTACTCCTAAGAACTTCCTGACAGACTAATGAATCTTCATATTTTACACAAACTGTGTATCTGGTTGCATATTCATAAATACAGCTACTAATAAATTTATAGCCTAGCACTTGATTTTCCTTTTCTCATCCAAGTCACTCTTAAGCTGCATGTCTGTATTAAGGACAGTTTCTTGCCATTCCTTCTTCCAGAGAGCTAAAGAACATATTTCTGCTGACTCTCCCTCATTTTCAGACATTAATTCCTCTATCTGTGCATCTGAACACGCATCTAAACACTTAATGTTTATACAAACAAATAATTTGACTTTACTGAATATAAAAATACAGTGTATATAATAGGCAAGGCAAATTGCTTCATAGGTGAAACTGTAATGATAATTACTTGCAATTGTTTTTGTTTTGAAAAATGCTTTTCTAGTTAATAACAGTAGCCTAGAATTTTAACACTGAGTATGGATGAACTCACACACTCAGCTAGATACTATTGTAAGACTAGCATTGCAGGGAAGAACTAGTATTACACAAATATCTTTGGATATGAAGCTGTGACCTTTTGTAAAGCATTGAATGTTATTTTAAATTGTAAAATACTACATGGACTAGCAACCATTTTCACATACTGTTTGTGCTTCACTTACCAGTCTAAATCTAACGAGGTGTTTCATATGCATAATTCCTTTGCAGTAGTTTTGTGGAAGCAAACTGTCATCCTGTCCCTTTATTACAGCAACCAAATCCCATAAATTTTTGCTGCCTGCTGGAGGCTAAAATTGTTAGGAAAGAAGAGTTTTATTACAGATATGTTCGAGAGAAACTTGAACTTATAAAGATATTGAAAGTCAACTCCAAGAAATACAATTTCAGACAATTTCAATATTAGAACCTTTATTATGAAAACATGAGTTAGTTCCAGAGACTACAAGTCCTTCAGTCTTCATGAAGGCTGTAAAGATACAGTGAGATCCATGAACCTGCTTGGTTATGTGCGGACATAGCTGAGGGCTCACAGCTGAGCCATTAGTTTTCCCTTTGGCTCTCAAATAAATCCAAGCTATCTTGTGTCTACTGCTGGCACAAACCAACAGTCAGCTGCTGCCAGGCAGGAGCTGACCCAGGACTTGTTTACTACCTTCTATAAAACAAAGGCATGGGCCAGGTAGAAAAGGGCTTCAAGGCTTTACTGTCACAACCTGGTATATGCACAAAATAAATTTTTTTAAATAAATTTTAAGCATTTCTATTGGCCTAGTCTTTGAATCAACCCTTCTTTAGAAACAGGACAACAGTTTAACACTGAATGAAGTCTAGAAGAGAGTGAGAATTCAAAAGCTTAAAAAAAAATCATTAAACCTTTGACCTAAAGAAGCTTTTCTAAGAACAAAAGGATCACAAGTTTAGAAGTCCAATTATTTTTGAGTTGGTAAAAAGCATAAAATCCTAGTAGGGAAACCTCACCCCCCACCCCAAAAAAAAAAAAAAAAAAAAAAAACTACTCTCTTTTTTCTGTCCACTAAAATTCTTATTAGACTTCTCATAGTTTAGCACAATCCCTAATTTCTGGACTCAAAAAGCACTGACTATACCTGATCAAAAAAGCTTTTGTTCTTGGAAAATTATAGTATTCTTAAAATAGTTTTACTGTCAAATCAGAAATCAAAATTTATAACTTCTGTAAAACTAGGAATTCCATAAATATATTTTAACAAAAGAGAAAATGCCTAAGTTTGAAATTGAGAAATATTGTTTCATCATTTCTAAATTATACACTTCAATGTAGCTAGAACTCAAACTAAATATTTTGGATTAACTAGGTCGTTTTAGATCAGTGTTTTAATTTAAATTATACACTTCAATGTAGCTAGAACTCAAACTAAATATTTTGGATTAACTAGGTCGTTTTAGATCAGTGTTTTAATTTAAATTACAAGTGTTTGACACAAGTTCCAGTAGTAGTAGAACCTGTAGTTCCAAGTAATTTTGTCCTTGTTGTACCTCAATTGCAGCTCCTATTCAGGCAAGAACTCACAGGACACCATCTTTTTTAACTCATTTGTACTGACAGGCTGCAGCAATTTATAGAAAATATTACTGGATGGAGAAAAGTCAATAGATGGATACTGAGGCACAGGTTATCTGGATCTACAGTTCCTAAAGCATAAAGAGCCGTTTGGGCACAGCACTGGGGCAGTTCAAAACTTATCAGTAATGAGGGTGTTCTTTTAAAAACTCTAATGCAGCTTGATTAAACACATAATTTCATTTTCTTCAACAGCAAATTGCTATCAAATTAGCCTTTCCCATAGAAAATAATGTTATTTCACTAATTTAACTTTACAAAAAGCTGGTTTCTTTTTTGCAATGCTAAATTAGTGAAATTTGTTTTTCACAACTGACAAACAATTAAATCATGGACACTTTTATATGCTGACCTGTTAAGAAATAAACTTATTTCTGCCTATTTTCTAAGCTCCCTTCAAGAAAGAGAGAAAAAAATGGTAGAGAAAACAAAAATCTAAATTTTGGAGATTGACTTCAGAAAAGAAAGGCATGCACATTGACAACATCCCTAATTTGCAGAATACTTACTGAAAAAAATTCTGAAAACCACCTTAGTTTTTTTCCTTGAGGACTTCCTGACAATTTTTCCAATTCTTGTTTAATATCCCTGGAAACTTTACCACACAGCAAAGGAGGAGCTCCAGACTCCACAGCACGATCTAATACACACAAAAATTTATATATGAAATTAAAATAAAAGGGAATAGGAATATTAACATAAAGAAAATTAAAACAATGGCTTATACAATTTGCTTACCTGTATTGCCAATAATATCATCCCAACATCTGTCTGTTAAGATATTTATTTGTAGAGGGTTTATAAGAGGTGTCAATGACCAGAGTCTCACAGTGGAATCTCGAGAGCAAGATGCCATAGTAAATGGACGACTAGGATGACACGTTAATCCTAGTAGAGGGGATATTTAAAAATGTAGTCAAATAAGTTTATCTAATAACCCGTTTAATTAAATTACTTAATAAATTTCAAAACATATTAGAATGCATTTCAATACAGAAATAAAACAAAATTTGAAAGATATTACCATATACATCTGCACCATGATCATAAACTGTGTCTAAACATGTTCCATCTCTTGTGTCCCAGACTCGAATTGTATAGTCCCAGCTGCCAGATATTAGAAGATAAGGAATTTCAGGATTCCACATCAGTCCCCGTACTGGAGCAGTATGTCCGCTAAGAACATTTATACAAGCATCTTGTGTATAATCCCATATCCGAACGGTACTGAAACAGGATAAAAGAGAACAATCTACATCAGATCACCAATTGAAATATAATTGTCTCTCTACTTCAGCAATAATTTAAGCTTCAAATTTATCAGACTATTTATTTGTATCACAACAGGGCTCAAAGAGTTGTAGTGAAAGGGGCTAAATCTGGCTGGTGACTGTGAGCAGCAATGCTCTTCAGGGTTCAATTGTAGGGCCAGTCCTGTTCAATGTATTTTATTGTCAAGAAGTTTGCTAACAAGTTGTCTCCTGTCATGAATTACTACACTATAAACTAATAGATTTTGCTTCAAGCACAAACCTCTAATGAATGATAATGAGAAAGCAGTAGAAGCCAATACTTCAAACATTACAAAATATCTCTTACAAAAATATCCTATATACTCTGCAGGGAAGTGGCTTAGAATCATAGAAAAATGTTTCCTCCAGCTTACCATGAACTGATGTGTTCTCCTTCAAAAGCAATGGCACCAAACCAAAAAACAGAAGTATCCATACTCATTAATATTCTCTGCAGATTCTACTTAAGTATACTTTTGAAAAGTATCAAATAAGAGCAGGTCTTGTACTTGTCTCTTCAGATGTAATGCAGTATCCTCCTTGCAGTAACAGTGTCAGGCATTGACCCTACTTTTGTGAAAGCATATGGAAACTTGCACTACCACAGCAGTTGTGACAATTTAGATAATGATCCTGCTGCCCAAATACTACATAAAGCTAAAAGCAAAGCTAAAACCTAGATCTGAATAAGGCAGAGATTTAGATTATTACATATTGGCAACACCATTACAAGTAAAGATGCAAGTTTCTCCAACAGTCCTGCTTGAGGTTTAAGTTTTCTAATTGTTCAGAAATACTCACCCATCATCAGAGCCACTGCAGAGGATTCCTTCTCTGAGAGGAGACCACCGTACATGAAACACCTTTGCAGTATGTCCAGTAAAAACTTTCAGTGGTTGATCAGAGCTGGTTGCCAAGTAGTAAACACGAACATTTTTATCCTCACAACCAGTAGCTATCATATCTCTGCAAAACAAAAGCAGCAAAATCCTTGGTCACAGAGATGATGAATACTTTTTTAAATTAAAAAAAAATATTATGTGCAATTTGCAAATTTTTTTAATAGCAAATTTTTGCTTTTCTTTAATCTCTTCAAGAGATAGCTATCAATAATCCAATTAAAAAAACTAAATCAGAAAAAACCTGATAAAGATCCATTAGTTGCCATTGCCATGGGGAATACGTTTGCACTCATCTGACTATGCACCCAATACACAACTATTTTTAAATTGAATTACTGTATAATTGGTTTTTTGTTTGGTTTTTTTTACAAAAAGCTCTCATGACATTATTAGGAATTATCTACAAAATGTACAATAATCACAATGTATTTAGTTGTTTGCTACATTTTTACCTTAGCAGTCATTACAAGGACACCCCTTACAAGTCATTACAATCTACACTCCTCTTTCCTGGTATTGAATGCCTGCTTTTTGTCTGCTCTTTTTCTCCCCATTATATATTCAGCTAGGAATTTTTCTTTTCTCTCATCAATATAAAACGATCCTCCTTTGAAAGTTAAGAAAGTTCATGGTGGTCAATGAAATATACTACTGGGAAGAGACAGCTGTTATAGGTATATCCTACTTTGGAAGAGATAATTTCAGTGTTTTACTATCACAGCAAATATCACATTCTAGCTATCTTTGTGATACTTTACTGGCAATCAATTAAAATACTAAACATTGTCAATCCTTTGTGTTAATTTTTACTTACTTGTTGTTTTGACTCCAGTCACAGCCAAACACTGCAGCTGGATGTTTGTACTTGTGAAGAACATTGCCATCAATGGTTCGAATAATACTGAAAAGAATTATAATGTGATATTATAAGGAAAAATACATTCTGGATATTCTATCCAAAATAAGTTTTATTCTGTGCAAATAAACCAGGGAGAAAAAAAAATATACACAAAGAATAAGAGAAACAGCCAAAAAATTATCAGCCCCTCAATGACAACATTTAACTGGATGTTGATTGTACAACATCTAACTAGACATCAGTATCTATGTTCCTTCAGAGGGGCTTTAAAGATGTTCACTGTGGTACATCTTTCTTATATCCTCATAGTCCAGAATCAAAGTTGTAGTCATGGCTTTAAGGTACAAATAGATCTTTATGAATTAAAAAGAAAGTTGATAGTTTTCTAAAATTACTGCACATTATGTTCGAACTGGAATGACACAGTAGCAGAAGAAACAAATGAAGAAGGATTTTTAAAATGTACTAAAACACAATATATGCAAAATTGCTTTCAATGGACATTCATGCATTTTTAAAAATTAGGTATTATACTCCTGTGATAGTGCACTTGTAGTACTAAAATAGCACTTTTCAGTCATTGAAACAACAAACTAAAAAAAAAATTTAAAACTAAGACAAGTAAAGTTGGATGGCTTTTGAAAAGTGTCCTCTACAGATAAGAAACCTAGAAGGATATTCTTGTCCGAATAAAAATCAGTATTTAGTTTCACTATCAGTGTGTCTTAGACACTATTCCTTTTGAAAACATTTCCTTTATTTTTTTTAATCATAAAAATCATACCCTAACAAGTACAGCAGAGTAATATAATTTCTGTCCAGTAAGAAAAGTTTGAAAACTAATTACTGAGAGTACTGTCAAAATTTATTTTGACACCTGAGAAGTGCATTTAGCAATTTTTTTTTCTTCCAGTAACACTCACCAAAATCCATCACTGCTGCAGGTTGCTATTCTTTTGGAATCTTTATGACTCCAGGCAATGCAGAAGATTCCATTCTTTCCATGCTTCAAAAAATGCAAAATACCTATCAATAAGAAATAATTCACCCCTTTTTCTCTCATCTATTGACTCATCTTTTTTACTTTATTCTCCTGCGGGCTTCAGCCCTCTTCTCCCAGTACAGTATACTGTACAAAACCACGTTATTATGAATACCCAATATAAGCTGGATGTTTGTGAGTCCAAGTCCAAAACACTGGGACTATGAAGATAAATACTAAAACTGCTACAGCCTCCAGGATCTAAGAGAAGCTGAAGAATGAGCAATCCATAACTATATCAACCTGAAGCTTAAATAAACAACACTGTTTATTTAAGAGGGACCTTTGGGCCTTGGGACAACTGCTCAAGGGATATGAAGCATGAGTTGTGTTCTCTTCTGTCCTGCCAGTTGACGGGAATGATGTGGCAAGAAACAGGAAGATCATGTAGATGAACAACTGGACCTGATGCTGGTGTTACCAACACAGTTTTGGGAGTTTTGATCACGAGTCAGTTTATACAACACCAAGCCTGCTGGCAACAAATGGGGTCCAGCTGTCTCCAAAGAGAAAAAGGACCTTAGTTCAGCAGTTCATATTGTTTACTGCAAGAGTTTTAAACTAGTTTGGAAAGAGGCCAGGGCCAGGCTTGCCAGAGAGAACGTGTAGGAATGGAGAGAACAATAGAAATCACTCTAGTAGCATTAGGAATCTTAAGAGGCAGTACCTGGAGCAAGCACAAGCAGCCAAAGACATAATCACTAGACAGGACTATGGGACATCCCTTTGCACCTCCACTGGTATGTGGACAGAGTCAAATACTTCTATTAGGTGCCTGTACCCCAAAACATGCAATATGGGGAACAAACTGGATGAACTAGAGATCTGTGTATAGTCACAGGCCTTTGCACTGTGATTACAGAGACACAGTGGGATAGCTCTCATTACTGGAAAGTTGCTACAAAAGGCTACATAATGTTTATGAAAGACAGGCCAGGAAGTCACATAGGTGGAATTTCCCCCTGGGTGAGGAAACACGTGAGATGTATCAAGCTCTGTCTTGGGGAGAATAATGGGCAAGTCAAAAGCTTATGGTTTGGATAAAAGACACTGTTGTAGGTGTTTGCTATAGACTGCCTGATAGCTAAAATTAAGTGGATGAAGCTTTCTACAGCCAGCTAGAAGCACCCCAAAGGCACAGGCACTAGTTCTTGTGGGGCACTTTAACTACCCTCACACCTGCTGGAGAGTCAACACAATGAAGCATAAACAGGCCAAAAGGTTCCTGGAAAATGTTAATGACAACTTCCTGCCACAAGGACTGTTGTGCTGCTTGAGTCTCACACTCACAAACAGGGAAAGCCTGGCTTTTGTGGGAGATATGAAGGTTGGAGGCAACCTTGGCTGCTGTGATCATGGAGACCGTGGAGTTCAGTATTAGGCAAGCTGGAAGCAGGACAGAGACTAAGATACTTCAGCAGAGCTAACTTTAGTCTCTTCAGGGATTTTCTTTGAACAATGCAATGGGAACACACCTTGTGGGGAAAAAGGGTGCAAGAGAACCAGCTGATATTTAAGGATAACTTCCTTCAGGCTCAAGACCAATGCACCCCGATGAGCAAGAAATTGGGGAAAGTGATCTTCATGGATGACCAAGGAACTTCTGTCATTATTTAAGTGCAGGTAGGAAAAACACAGGAGATAGAAGCAGGGTCAGGCCACTTGGAATTAGTACCGAGAGGTTGGAGAATAAGTAGAAACGAGATAAGGAAGACAAAGGGAATGAAATCTGGCCAAGGATATCAAGGACAATAAGTAGTGCTTCTTCATCTCCATTAATAACAAAAGGAAAACCAAGGATAATGTAGACCCATTACTACATGGAGGGGGGACCCTGGTAGCAGAGGATGCAGAAAAGGCAGAGTTACTGAACACCTTCTTTACAACAGTCTTCAATGACAGAACCAGCTCTCAGGAATCTCTGACTCAAGTGACCAGCATAGAAGAATGATGGAAGGAAGACTTTCCCTTGATCAAGACCAACTTGGTTAGAGAACACACAGACAAACTTGATATCCACAGGTCCATGGGCCCTGACAGGATGAATCCACAAATGCTGGAAGAGTATCACCATAGTGAGTCTGCTCATGGTCATCTTTGAAAAGCTGTGGCAATCAGAAGAGGTGTCTGAGGTGAGCACTGTAAGAAGGCAAATGTCACTCCTGTCTTCAAAAAGAAAGAGGAAGACCAAGGGAACTAATAGCCAATTAGCCTCACCTCAATGGATGATGAGGGGAGAGCAGTGCATATTGCCCACCTTGACTTCAGCAAGAATTTCAACACTGCCCCTCATGAAAACCTCATAGTCAAACTCAGGAAGTGTGGCCTGGGTGAGTGGACAGTGAAGTGGATTGAGAACTAGCTGAACAGCAGATCCCAGAGGGTTGTAATCAGTGGCACAGGGTCTATTTGGAGGCCAATCACCAGTGGTGGCCCTCAAGATTCAATATTGGTCACAGAATTGTTTAGTTCATTCATCAATGACTTGATGAAGGCGCAGATGCTTCCTCAGCAAGTTGACTGATAACACAAAGCTGGGAGGAGAGGCCGATACCCCAGAGTGCTGTGCAGTCCTTCAGAGGGACCTTGGCAGGTTGAAGAGATGAGCAGAGAGAAACCAGCTGAAATTCAGCAAAGGCAAATGCAGGGTCCTGCACCTGGGAAAGAATAAACTCATATACCAGCACAGGCTGGGGCTGATCCGCTGGAAAGCAGCTCTGTGGAGAAGGACCTGGGGATCCTGGTGGACACCAAGCTGTCCATGAGCCAGCAGTGTGACCGTGTGGCCAAGAGGCCAGCGGTGTCCTGGGGTGCATTAGGAAGAGCATTGCAGCAGGGCAACAGAGGTGATCCTGCACCTTAACTCTGGTGAGTCCTCAAGTGGACTGCTGTGTCCAGTTCTGGGCTCCTCAAGACAAGAGAGACATGGAGCTTCTGGAGAGGGCAATAAAGATGATTAAGGAATTGGAGATCTCTCTTACAAGGAAAGGCTGAGAGAGCTGGGCCTATTCAGTCTTGAGAAGTCACAACTGAGAGGGGACCTCATCAATGTCTGTCAGTATCTGATGGGAGGGTGCCAAGAGGATGGAGCCAGGCTCTGCTCAATGGTACCAAGCAAGAGGCAATGGGCAGAAACTGATGCACAGGAAGTTCCAACTGAACATGAAGAAGAACTTCTCTATTGTGTGACCAAGCACTGTAACAGATTGTCCTGAGAGGCTGGGGAGTTTCCCTCTCTGGAGATATTCCAGAACCATCTGGATGCAATCCTGTGTAAAGTGTTCTAGGATGACCCTGCCTGAGCAGGGAGGTTGGACCAGATGACTCCCTGTTGTCCCTTCCAACGTTAATGATTCAGTGATTCTGAATACAGGTTAGTTACTTGTTGGAATAATGAAGTATATGGGCATGAAAAATTGTGGTTTGAGAAAACTTAATTGGGATGCGTATCAGCACCAGTATTACAGAAAAGATATTTAGTAGCACAAATGCTAATATCAATATTAGAATGCCAGAACTCTTGAAGGTAGGTATATTTGTTTTCTGCTCATGCCTCTCCTTACTCCTCCACCTCTCTTCTTAAAGAGCATCCCCTGTACATTGATGCAGATTCTATACTTAATTGATTATGTCTGTATAATCTGAAGATCACAGCTATATACTGGGAAGACATAAAATAGTGTAAAATGCTACATCATATTATTACACAACTCCTTCTGCCAATAAAATTTATGCTACTATTTCAGGACTTAAAAATGCCTGTATAAATTTCAGGCAATACAAGGCAAGCCACTAAATGAGTCATACTGCTTAATGTGCTGCAAAATTGAGCATTATTGATCTAGACTTCAGGTACTGAAAGTTTTTTCTGGCCCTTATGTTTGAAAATACAGTTTTCATTTTGATGCTGAGTCTGTATGTCCATATATGCTTACACAGTTAAGGAATCAGCAATGTTTTTTCCATGTATCCCTACAAGACCAATTTTATGATAATGGAGTCCATCTGATGCTTCACTACTCTCATATCACAAATCCAGTCTGAGGAAGTAAAAATACTTCTGCCACACATGTAAACTGGCACCATCAAAACTCCATAGAACTTTATACTATAGCACCTTTTAAAAAGATATGTACTTTGGCCATCTCTATTTATGGACACTAGAGGGAATGACTAACTTACATTTCACATAGACAAAAAAAGTAATAATCTCATCTTACCTCACTGAATCTGGTTATCAGTTTTCCTTTTTGTATATCCCAGATAAAGCCACCATTTCTGGAAGTTCCACCTGCTATGCAGTTCAAATTTCCTTTAAAGAGAGATATTTGTAAAATATTACAAAAATTATAAAATCACAATATTGTTTGACAGTGGTTCTACTTTAAATTGAAGAAATGTAATATGAACATAAAACATCAATGGTACATGAACATGAGTTTTCCATAGTTTAAGGCCAGCATTTGCTACGATGTCAAAAACATCAATTTCAGTGAAAGCCTGACCTTTTTTCTACATTCCTATTTCGAGGATGGTCAAATAAAAATTGTATTCCTGTAAAAAGTGTCTTAATGCCTGCTAAAAGTCTTGCATGTAAGAAATTAATGATCATGATGCATATGACTCAAACTGAAAGAGAGGTAGCCTTAGTGTTTCAGCTTAAAGTTGTAGCAACTGGAGCATTTTCCTTTAAAGTTCCCTACATATAAAGCCAAATCATAAAAATGAGAGAGAACACCTCACAGTATTTTGTTTCCTTAATCTTGCACCACTGCTGCACCTAAGATTATCAAGAATGTATCTGAATCTGTAACCACACTCTACAGGGTGGAAAATCTGAGTACAAAACTCTACAGTGAGAAACAGAAAATTCAGTTCAGGTCTAATCCAAAATCCACCAAATTCTCACCACGGTGACTCTGTATCTTAATATAGCTATGCTTTTCATTAAATAGCAGATTTATAGGAAAGTTTTGACTGTTATTTTATTTCAAGCTTCACAGGCAGAAAATACAATCTATGCAGGAGGAGTCTAGCAAGGTTAAATGCATAAAATTATAATAAACAAAGGTAGGAGGAGAATGATGGGGCAGAAAAAATAAAAAGGAGTAATAACTTTTTTCAAAGGTCTTCTGAGACCAAACAAATGGTGGCATGCATTAGATTATATATTAAGAACAAAGTACAAGGCAGATAGGAACTGTTTGGGAGTAAAGTGCAAGAAGCACCAAACGTTCTGGCTGGGAGGGAGAGGAGCTTTTGGACAGGGTGCTAACGAACAAAGTTAAAGCACGTACTTCCAAATGACTTTGTTTTTTTTAAAAACAAACAAACAAACAAAAAAAAAAAAAAAAAAAAAAAACCAAAAAAAACCCACCAAAAATCCCCAAAAACCAAAAGCAAAAAACCTACACCCCACCTGCAGAAAAAAAACAAAAAAACATTCAATACAACTACAAGATACAACTACAAATTGAATTTAAACTTCAAAATTAAATAACCAATCATAAGAACTGTATTTCATACTGCCATGATGTCCATATAGCAAGACAAATTATTTGTGAAGATGTAAGGTGAAAGAGACTCTCTGAAATTAAAAAGGTCAAATTTATTTCACATATGCAGATTACATTAAGCTTCCCACCACAATATCTTTCTTCCGTCAGCTATTATTTCTTAAGAGTTTAAAAGTGCAGGTGAAAACAGACTGATGAATTATTTAGATTTTTTAAAATACATCTGCTGTCCAATGAAATAAAACACAACAGGGAAGTCAACTTAATGTCAACTATTGACATCTATCTGAAGTGTATTTTCAGGTATACCAAAGAGGACTAAAGAACAACTTTGTAAACAAAATTTCCCAGTGAGTCCAGTGATTTGTCTAAGAAAAAGTAGATGTTTTGCAGAAGAGACACTTCCTATTTCTAATAAGGTAAAAGCAGAGTTCTTCAGTGATTAGACTTCTATACAAAGATGGAAGAAAAAGAGCTAAATCCATATGTTCTACTATTTCAGCATAAAATATAATCTGAATTCCTTTAAGGAGCTGCTTCTCATGCAAAGTAAGACATTTTGACATTTGCATAATGCCATGTTAGAAATGTTCTGCAGTTTTTCCTCCCTCCATTCTGAGTAAGAAATACTGGGAGCATTACTCAGAAGGGTAAGCTTAAACAAGGTCTGAAGCATTGAATTCTGCTGGTTTCACAGATAATTAAGTTTTGTTTAAACCTTAGAAGATGCCTTTCTCTATAAAACTAATACTTTTATATGACAAATTCTGCAGCTAATGCTAATTCAAAGAACAATTAGACACACAGCAGAATATTCTTACCTGGACCCCAAGAAATGGAATAAATAACCCCCTCATTACCAGGAGATGTATAAACCGCTGATAAAGTATTTATGTCCCAAACTTTTATTGTGCCATCAAATGAAGCTGTAGCAAGAAGATCAGGGTTATCAGGTTTGAATTTGCAATCAAAGATGGTCTCAACATGTCCCTTAAATGAAACAAATATTTAATCCATTTTTATTACATTTGATTTTCTTAATAAGTCCAACTCTAGATCAAACTCTAAAATACATTGTATTTAATTTAATTGTCAGGTCAATTAAGAGTTCCAAAACCCCTTTATATTTAGGCTTATCAGTCAAAATTAAAAGGCATAAAATAACTTGGACTTAACATGTTCTTTCATAGATTATTATTAAAATAAAAAATATTATTTCCTGAAACCACAGGGTACACAATGCCAGGATCTTGTTAGCATTTCCTGTTGAAACTATGCTGCTAAAAATTGAGTTAAAAAACTATGCCAAAAAAAAAAAAAAAACCCAAAAAAAACAAGAACAAAGAAACAAACAAACAAACAAAAAACCCTTAATTTTTTAAAACAGGAACAGTTTTTTCCTTTTGGTAAAAAGTACCTGACTGAAAAAACAAAGCTCTATATGTTGAAAATATTCTACAAGTTGTGTAGTACCCCACTGAATATTCTGCCTTTCTAGATACAGTCTATGCTCTATTGCAGTTTAAACGTCAATCTATTAGAGTTTTAATGTATCAATTAGGTGTTTTCCAAGACATGCATTTGTAGAATTTAAGTTGATAAATACATGAAACACAAATATTATGTAAGAATTCTTTTAAAGCCTCAGTTGCTTTATATGACCATACCCAATAAAAATGGAAACAGAAAACCAACCAGCAGCCTCTATTCAAATGCATATGGGAGTACAGCTGAAAATTATTTGGGTTTTGTTTGTTTGGGGTTTTTTCAGTGAAAAAGAAACTTGGAAAGCAAAAAAGAGACATATGCTAAAGAACTTCAATAATACAAAGCCTGGTGAAGAAAAGGGTCATCTAATATATGTTAAACTTATTTCTGAATTTCAGCTTCAAAGAAAATTTAATAAATCAGTCTGTGTAATGTTAAACTGAGTGTATTCACCATATAGCTCTCTGATTTGACTCAAACTTTTATTCTGAATTATAGAAAACCCATCAGAGAAAATTTCTGAGAAGGCCATCAAACTAAAATTTCACTCACAAAAATTAAAAAATCTAAAAACAAGTCTGTAAATCTTTATTTCTGTTTAAAAAAACCTGTCAGAATACTTCCAACAGAATTCAGTAATTTCCAATAAAAGATTGCTGTAAACTTCAGAACTGTCATTTTGTTTCCTAGAAATCTGGGCTCTTTCTAACAATAGAAACTGCTCTACAGTACTGCAAAGATTTCATTCTCCAGTTTTTTCCTGTTAGAAGAAAGTGCATAAGCCAAATAAACTCTCTATTCAAAGACAGATATGAACCATACCAAATCTCTCAGGAAATCCCACTTTTTGGCTCCCATGTCATAAAGCCCCACTCCACCATCCATGAAGCAACAGACGGTATGACCAGGAGGAAGAGAAAATGCTTGGTTTTGGGTTAAAGTTGGAGGAGGAACAGCCTCACTTGTTGAAGATGTATGGTGATTTTTAGTAGGATACTGTGATGAACATGCTTAATAATATAAAGCAAAAGACAAAGAGAGAAGATTATTTCTTATTTCAGTAATAAGTGAAATTATACAGAGTAAAATGCTTGTATTCTAATGAGATTTAAAACAAAAGAAATGGAGAATTCCTGTATGAAGCCTGGCCTACTAAAGAAAGACCTTAAAAAGTACTTGACCCTTTATGCATTTGTCTAATCCACTACCAGCAGAAGGTACTTTAATTAAGAACTAAATAGCTGACCAATGCTACAGAGATTGATCTGGACTCATAAATTAGATTTTCTTAAGTTGCATCACAATGAATAACAATCAAAATTGCACTTACACTTTTTTTTTGGAGGAGAACTTAGCACATGCAAGCCATGGAAACCAGTTTGCTTCAATTTAACATTATCTATAGGTGTTGTACGTGAAACATTCCAAACACGTAACACACCAACCTGAGAATCTGAGGTTTAAGAAAACAAAACACAGAGGTATGTGGTTTGAGGACTGATTTATACAAAAATACAACAATTAATTGAACTTCAAGTCCTAGGAATAATTTTATAAGCAGGCACCATTAACTCCATAGAATCATAGAATAGTTAGGACTGGAGGGAACCTCTGGAGATCATCTAGTGTAACATCCATGGCATGCTATTTATCCTCCATTCACCATCATGGCCATATCACTAATAGCAACAATTATTATTAACATTAGCTATTTACACACAGATAAATTCTACCTCTCTTTTTATAAAATATTTGGCCAGTCTTAATTTCTTTATTCATTAGTTCAACCTGAGCCATAATGTCTATGGTGTTGAAAAGAGGCAGGAATTAAGATTCTTTTCTTCTTTTAATTTTTTGTCTTTGAAGTGACATCAATTAGTACAATGTATTTTTATCCCCATTCCCAAAGGAATTATATATGTTTTGCTAAAGCATGTGTGAGGAAAATATTATTTAGCATAAAAAATTGTAGAAACTTGCATATTTATGTAGCTAATATTTTTAAAACATGAAAAAACTGCTAAGCATAGTTTTATTATTTTCTGGTCTTGTGTTATGGTCTTTTTTATGTACAACTAATGTATGCTTCTACTTGTAAAAATATTATGAAACAGAAAAATCAAACTTGGAGTATCAATTTTTGAAGACCTGTATTTTTTTATGTCCTGTATTTGTTATCTTTGTATAAACTAGGAAATAAAAGACTTACCTCCAGTTATAAACATTCCAGGTGCACTAGAAACCCAGGCTAAACACTGAACAGATGCTGCTGCACTAGGAAAACTAAAAGTTGTGATACAGGACAGAGATTCAGAATCAACTAGTCGAATACCATTATGTAAATTAGCAACAAGAAGGTAATCAGTTGACAAAGGGTCCCACTCCAGAGCTGTAACTGGATCCTCTTCATCTGTTCCTTCAAGAGACTCTGGTCTTAAGATGTGTTTCTGATTTTTAGAACCTTTAAAGTGCACAAGAAAACAGGTTATTTAAAAATTAAATCAAATACATACTTTCAATATTTACAAGGTTGGCAAACAAAATTTTTTCCTCTCTCCCTGAAATTTTCACTAGCCTGCTTTCTTGTTTGCAACAGTGAAATTAATGAAGCTATCTTGGAAATATTTGACTTAGAGTATTACTTTTTCTATCAGATTCGACTTTATGTTTAATACAACAGAAAACAGAAACAGCTATCAGATTTATAAACATAATTTTATAGAAAAGTATGTTAAATCATGTATATTGTTCTAGGAATTTTTCTGAGTAAGGGTCTGCAGCACAGCATAAAATACAAGTCATTTGAGTGTAAGTAAATCTTCACACCACAGCATATACAGGCAAAATAAAGGCAATAAGAACTAGAAAAATACTGTGGCAGTAAAGACTTATTCTGAAGAACTGCCTTTTGACTTTTTTTCTTCTTTAAAACTGTGTGTACAGGTATGAAGTGTTTATAGATTTTTGTAGCCAAAACAGACAATTAAGTATCTAGTCTGACACCCACAAAAAAGATGGTGTTTCACTTGATGATCCGTAGTATCAAAACCCGCATTTTTTTGAATATCATATTTATCTCCCACTTTTTATTTTTACAAAGAGATGAATCTCAGTTGTATAAGACAGAGTACAGTGCAAATGAAATAGATCTGCATTTTGGAAGTTGTGATCTTATAACAAAAATTAAAAAATACTGCTTTTCTAGAAATAAGGAACTGACACCTTCAATTATTTGTCTTCAATCTAATTTTCAATTTTAGTACTGGTTCATAAACATTACATTCAAGGCAACTTTATAAAATCAGGCACCAGAAATGGGAGAAATAATTTAAGGCTGCACAACAAGTAACATCATAAGCCAATTTTTTGATTCCATTTTTTTCACTCTTCTGAAGCACTGGGAATAAAAGCAATTTCTTTAATTTGACAAAAATTTGAGAACTCCTGCTTTTTTTAAACCATGTCCCCTGCTTACATTACAGGTCACCTTTTTGTTTTACTGCAAATCAACACTGAAATGAAAAACAAGAACAGACAACAAAGCAGTATTGTAATTTTTCAGTTAGCTAGACAAGAGCTAAAGCAAAAAGTCCTCGAGTGACTGAAGCCATCCATTGTCAAACACTTCAGCCCTAAAAAAGCACAACCACCTGGTGAGAGAGTATAAGAGAGTATCTATCTAGCAGCCATCAGTTTTACCTCTGTTTCAAAAAAAGAGTCTAAAAGCAAACCTCATGAAAACCCAAATTTTGTTTTCCTTTAAAAGAAGACATGAACAGTATGAATCATGCAACTGAGTCACAGGTCATATAAGTAAGCTGTGCTTATTTTGGGAACAAACGAAAGGGAAAACATTTGGCTCCATATGACTGCATTGAACATCCCTAAGAATTGTGTATTAAACTTATATTCCCACATATATTTTCTCTACACTAAATGTTCTGATACATTAATCATAGTCTAGAGTTAATAAGAAAGAAAATACAGCCATGGGAGAGAAAACTAAGTAGGTAACAACAATTAAAACAAACATTGTGTAGTCCGCTACTTATGCAGAAGATTTTGATGCAGCTGCATATAAACTTTTAAATTTTATTTCTCTGTTGGAAATGAAGAATCTTATGCATGCTGAGAAAAGGAAACAACTTATATATTTTTTAAAATTTTAAAATTATTTAAATAAAGATATATAATATTACAACAATAAAGAAAATTATCCTAATTACAGAGAAAGGCAGCATTCCTGTGATAGTCAGATCTAAATTTTGAGTTGATGCAAATAGTTTTATCCCCAACACTAATATATAATTTTCCTTAAACAATTTTTTTACAGCAACTTGAATTGTGGTCCACACAAAACTGCCACTGCCTAGATTTTTTACCCTATATTCTGTTTTCATTTGCAGAACATAATTCTGATATTCTAAATATTTTTCCTATTATTTCTGCTTTCACATTGAAATCATTTGAGACAGACTTCATGAAAAGTATCAGTCTGATAAATACTTAGATGTTATCATATAAAAATTGATTTCCTTTTCCCAATGTCAGTGCTAATTCAGTCAGCAAGAGGCAAGGGAATCTGTTCTCTGTGACATCCTGTGTGACAGTTTAGTAGAGTAAACTGAAGGAAAACAAATTTTGAATGGCTGTTGGGAAACAACTCTATGTAAAATTAACACATTATTTAAAGAACAGTATTTCTCACAAAATTGAAAATCAATTTTTATTTAAGGAAGAAACAGTCAGGAAAAAATTCAAATAGTCAACCTAATACAGATATCTGTCTTTGAAGAAAACTGTGAAAACAAGTGAAATTTTACCTTCAAATGAGCTTATCAACATGACACCTTCTTAGAAGAGAACTGGACTATTTATAAAGTATGCACAAATGTGTGTGGTGGATTTCAGGCAAAAAGAGATAAATATTTTCCCATCTATCCTTTGATAGTACAGAACACCATGAAGATAATATTAAGTATGACATGAAATTCTACCTATAAAATTGCAGAGGATTCTAGAATATGAAACAGAGGACTCAAGAACAAATGCAAAAGTAGGAAAGTAAACAAGTCTCCAAGTCTTTCCATTCAGAGAAATACACTTGCAGGAAAATATAGTTCAGTAGAAGATCATGGCTGTGACCATTTGCAAAAAAAAGTGTTTACTGCAGTTGTGAAAAAAAATGCAGACTTATCTTGGTCACACAAGGCAGGAGACAAAGAAAATGCTCTGAATTCTTTATGTAAGAAAACATATTTTTGTGATATAGAAGGAATATGAATATTATGAATCAAGAACAAATGTTATGTATGTACCTACGTCATGGAATCTAATTTTAAAAAGTGAAGAATTACATGCATATGGAGAAACAAGCGATATATATATATAAAACTACATATTTTTTCATATGAGTTTTTACCTGGTTGAAAAATAGATAGGCTTCCATCAGTATGTCCAAATACTACCTTTCCTTTTTTCTTTGGATGCCATCTAAACAGACTGATATCTGACAAGAAACTATGCGCTTCCCTATGCACAGTTACCCCGCTGTCAGGTCCTGAGATAGTCCAAATGTACAGTGGACCTCTGTGGGACACAAATGCAACTGCATCACCTGCACTCCAGCACCAGCCAAGGGATGCAGGAATTCCTGAAACATACAGGTAAACTTTATAAGAACCAGGACACAAAATTCAGTGTAGTATTCCTTGACCCAGTATCAGCAATTGTCTTGAAAAAACAATAGAAATAATTTTTCTACATAGAAATTGCTAGATTGAAACTTAGGGAAGTGTGTGAACATCTTACAGTGTAAAAGTAAACTAGACTTTCAGAGGCAGGAAGTAAAATAATTTCTTAAATGACTTTTATGCTACTTTGATGGGCCATATTTCATGATATATAAACTCCATCAGTGCCAAAGAGAATCACATATTTGAAAGAGGATAAGCCTGATCCTGCAAACAATACTTTCATTCATTCAGAATTTCATTCACTACTATATTTTGCTGTAAGTTATTTACTACTAAGATAGTAATAAATAATAAAATACTGAGAATTTCAAAATGCCTATTTTATCAAAATACAATGAAATTTAGAGGTAAATATAAGAGAAGCAGATATTTGTGAAATATTTGAAAGCTAGTTCTGTAGTAAAAGGAAACTCTTGATGGCTTTCTTCTGGATAGATGATAGTTTTAATTCTGTTGTCTAATACCTAACCATAGGCAGTTCCATTTAACAGTTTTGATCTTAATGTCTCCAACCCTCATAATCCTCATAACTTAATAATGTGTGCCTGAAGGAATAAATGACAGTAAGACAAATTCCTCAAGCTGAAAACTTAAAACTGTATTCAGACGCTTTTATATGGCAGTGTAAAAGGGACTAAAAGAGAAAGCAATAGAAGGTTTAAACATATTATCTTAATTTAGTTTCTAAAAATATTAAAATAGTAGCAACATTTATTCACGTGTAGTCATTGGTTAAAGTAGATTTTTAAACAAGCCATGTATTGAAAAATAAGGACCAGCATTTCTACTTATGCATAAGCTGATACACTATTTATTTTGGAATAGATTAAATCACTGTGGAGTTTTCTTTTGCATGATATGCAAGACATAAAAGATTTCCAGAGGTATCCCTAAATGCTCTGGAGAGAACAGAGTAGGGAGTCCCAAAATAGCTTATTAGATCCTGAGATTCTAACTGTTCTTGGTTTGCAACCACTTTTCAAGAATGAAAATGCAGGAGTCAAGGACACTTGATGAGATTGTAAGAACAAAAATACAGGTCCTGGTTTTGACTAAATGGAATAAATCAGAACTGGGCATGGAAATATAACTATAACACAGATGTTTAACCCCTTAGATTTGTAATACAATCTCCAGCAATTTCAAGGCCTGAGACAAAATTCAGGTAGCCAAGGATTAGAGTATTTAAAAAAAAAGCTGTTGATAAAATTCACTGATGATTTATATTTGAATCTGTTAAAGGTTACCTTCTATTTGCATTCACTTAGCTAAAGTCGTTGCAAAATTTATTATTTTAAAATTCAATTGTTTATAATGAAAATAATGTTGGGTTTAGGATTTTTTTTCTCTCCTGCTCCATAAGAAATCACTAGCAATGTTAGTTCTTGAACTGGTTAAGTTCTTCAGAGAAAAAGAATAATGTTTTTATCAAATACAAGATGGTTGAAGGCAATTTACTCAAACACACTATCATTATTTTCTAGAATGAACTGCAACAAATCTGACAAGAATACTGTCAGATTGTGTTGGGCAATTATTATTGTGTTAGGCAATTGTTAAACGCCAACCTACCAACTACAGAGTTTACAAGTATTTGTCATACCCATGGATCAAACTGTATGGATAAAACATATCTCCATGTCTAAAATACCTTTTGTATTGTCCAGCTTGGCCACAACTTTCTGTTCATTCACATTCCAAATGATCACTAAACTATCTGCACTGGCACTTGCAAACACGTCAGGGTTGTGGGGACACCAAGATATGGCTGTGATTGTCTTCTTGTGCTCAGACATAATGGCATGGAGCTTGAATTCATTGTATCGGTGATCCAGCTAAACAAATAGTAAAATCCATTTTAGAAATACATTTTTTGAAAAATTCCTTTATATAACTCTGGGTTGAAGAATACTTCATATAACAGCATTAGACTTATGGATTAATTTATAGTGTGTTTAACTATTGCCAGTACCTCACATCTCAATAAAATAAATTCTCATACATTTCACTTGGAAAGAAAGGTTGCCTGATATCCAAAGAACAGTTGTATGTCTCTCTTCCTGCCACTTATAAATTATTATATTTCATTTAGAAGTGTACTCAAACAATGCTAAAATGCTTTATTTATAGGCATGGTAACAATCATTTAGTAATCTCCAAGGGAGTAAACAGGAAAGAATATAAAAATGAGTTTGAAATCCTTCTAATTTTTAAAATTACTTAGTACAGTTAAAAACATATATTAAAAAAAAATGCCCAAACATGATACATTTTAATCCTACTACCTGTATAACTCTTAAAATTAAAGTAAGTACATCCTTTATTTCCTCACATGTCTCAATCGGAAAACTCTATGTCACAGCATTTCTGGTTTTTAGTTAGGTGTTGATGTACAACTGCAAACTTCAGAGGATCACAGTGCTGAGGTGTTTGTGGTCCAAATTAAATAAAGGTGAGTCACTGAATGCACAACTTTGAACCATTTTAATCCACCGTGCAAAAGACTGTTTTATACTACAGCTTCAAATGTAATTGTGGAATTCATTTCTCCCTCAGAAGCCAATCTTCTATCACTGAACTTCACTCATCACAAATGTTTGCTGCACTGTAAGCCTGTCTTCTAAAAATAATTCTTGGCACATAGAACTTCAAGGGTATCTCAGCAGCAACCATATTTGCAAAAGCATTGCAGAAACATTTGTGGAAAGTGATTCAAAGTGACATCAACAACAATGTAAAAGTGTAACTAAGCTGATAAACAAGAATAATCTTACCTGATAAATATAAACAGCAAGGGTAGCACAGTAGGCAAATCTGTCCCCACTAGCAGCACATATATCCTTGTTCCATGGCTGACATCCAGCAGCTAAAAGTCCCACTTGTTTCACATGTGACATTTTTGCCTTTAAAACAGAAATTCATTAGACTCCAAGATGACAGAATATTAAAGAATCGACTAATACATTTTTGTTCCCATAAATTATTTATAAATGTCTACTTTAAAAATATAACTTGCCTGAGACACAAATGAATGTATCCAATATAAATACAAGCAGATGTTCAGAGGCTTCAGTGCCACACAAGAAAGGGTGCCTCATACCATACACAACAATCCAGTTGGAAGAAAAGGGGGGTGGGAGATCCCACCCATAAAAACTTGAATAGTTCTTGATTTGTGCTAGCTGAAACTGTTCATCATGTCTATTTTCTTCTGTGGTCTGGTTCAATACTTTCTCTATTACAGTTTAATGCCTCCTCTGCTCTCCCATTCATCTCCAACTGACAGCCAGAAAAACCATATCCTAACAGTTTTAAGTAAAACTGACATGTAGAATGGTCTTCAAAACACTTGCATAGAACAACTCTTTATCATATTATCCTCCTTACTATCATCCTTTCTGGAGAAGCTTTCTAAATTTTAATAATTACTATTAAACAAAAAACATTGAAGTGAGCTGTGAAAAATCAAAAGCAAAGCTTAGGGTAACATTACTGAACAGCAAACTATGCTTTCTCTGTCCAGAACAAGTCTCACAGTACCAGCTGTGCTCAGAGTGAGAAAACTTGACTTCAACATAAAAATGGAAGAAATGCTTTGCTAGCCCTCATTTCATTCCGGATAATGTCAACATATTACCTAGTAACAGAATATCTCAGGGTCACATTTATGCTGTGGACAGATTAACAGACTGAGGGACATTAGGTGGAAAAATATTACATGGAATATGGAGGATGACATCTGGCATCTTTAGGTCAAAGAGCTAAGACTATAACCTTGAAAGAGAAGGAGAGCTAAGTTTACGAACTGTTAGGTACCATTTCATGCTGCAAAAAGGAAAGGGAATTAATGAGAAATAAGACTTCAAAAGCAATCAAGCATTCTGAGGGAGCAACTGTTGATAAAGGACAAGGGTTGGTTATTCAATGCATTGCTGGGTAACAGTTTAGCACAGATATGTTGCTGTAGCCCATTCTTGACCTACTTGATGTGAAATGTATAGAGGGGGAAATATTATTCTGGATGACAGTAGCATTAAGGCACACAGAGAACAACTTTATACAGGTGTTGCAGTATTGATCTACAGTACCCAAAGGAACCTATTGGTCACTATCAACTAAAAACTGGTTGCCTAAATACTATCAAAATTTTATTTTAGTGCATTTATATTAGGGATAAAAAAAAGTTGAATTATTAATTTTATTTTTAATTTTTCTCCTCTGTTTGGTGTATCTGCTTGGCAGGTAAACAGTAATGAATAATTATAGGTAGCAAATTCCATAACATCATGTTTCTCTCACTTTGGAAAGTGTGAAAGAAAAAGAAAATAATTGAGAGTGACTTATTTTGGGGGCTTCTTTAGCAGAAGATCAGGATCAGTTGAATGTTTGAGACTGATCATCTCAAAGATATCACTGACCTTAGTTAAAGTACTTAAGCATTCTGAGTACCAAACAACTGAAGGAAATGAAATGTTCACATGTAACCTTTGAAAATTTCAGTATAAGAGACTGCAATAGCAGAACAGAAATATACAGAAAATCAAGTTACAAGACATAGTTTTGTTGCAGACTAGAGCTTTGGCTATTAGATTTCCTTTCTGTCAATAATATTTATTTTTCTGACTTCTGCAGCAAATTAGAGATTCCAGAGAGAACATTTCTACAAATTACATAATCTTGCAGCTTCCTTGCAATCCATCCCCTGTTCTAAATGATACGAGTTCCTCGGAGACAAATTTATCTAATTATTTAAAGAATCAACATCATCAAGTGGCAAAAATAGCCTGTAAATTTCTACTGTTCTTTTACTGTTCAGTAAAATTACGAATTCCAGAGGTCCTTTCCATGCAATTAAAGTGTAAATCGTATATGCAGAGAAATAATTTGATTTGGGACATTCAGAACAGACTTCTTCTAGTTCCCATGAAAAAATAACTGGCACCATTAACAACCACTTTTACTGAAATTAAAGTCCTCCAGGTGATTAGATAACTATTTTAGGAAAGCACAGAATACCTGGAACTAGACATTTTGGGTTTTGCTCTTGATTCCAGGGAAAACAATGGTTAAAACTCTAGGTGTGCCAGCAAACTGATAAGGAACTGGGAAAAAAAAAAGCCATGGTGAAGGAGAGAATTAGCTGTAATATTTATCATAGGTTTCGTCTGCAGGTTTACCACCTGAAAACCATCATGTGAGATTGATAAAAAGTCAACAACTATATAGAACTGAAGAATACACAAGCCTTTACTTCATAATAATAAAATATTTTTCTCACTTAGTACAGATACTCTTCCTTACATTTTCATATGGGAGCTAAGAATTCTTGCTTTGATGAAGTTTTAATCTGTAAGAAAAAATTATTTAAGTCTTGTTTAATTTTCAGTTTGATTACATGGAAAATTAATTGTAAAACTAGGATCTCTTACAGATGCTAAAACAGAATTCTACAGATTTTTCTTTCAGAGTAACAACAGATTTGTTGGATTCTGCAGTAATCTCTATAAAAATGCTGCTAATAGATGAAATTTTTCTATTTTAGATGAAAAATATTGCTTTGTAATATAGCATTATTTCACTGAGTTAAGAATTCATGCTTAATAAGTATTCTTAAACTTCTGACTAGATTTTTCCTATTTAAGTATATGTAAAAAAGTTACATAAATAAAATATACTGAGCTTTCTTACAGAAAAGAATTTGCATTTTATTAATATTTTTTTAAAACTTGTTATAATTTCCTGCTCTTTGTAATGATATACCATTTTACAAGAGGAAGCATTTGCCTTTAAATTCAGTATCTAGAAGAAGAAATGACAGTTGTATGGAATACTGACTTGCTCGCTCATAGGTATAATGTCTTAAAGCAATTTATTGCACATCTTTTCAAAAATTATAGATTTCTGCTAAGCATAATTAACAGAGTAAGCAGAGTATAAAAGAGAAAGATGTATTCATCAGAACAACCTGAGTAAAGTGACAAAAAAATAGAAATGCATCATAATTGAAAATATGTATGATTTCCCACATGGTGCATTTTTATACAATGGAGATTTTTTTATACATTGTAAAAAGTTTTTTTTTTGTTTTTTTTTTTTAAATAAGGGATGTACAAGTAATAATATTTGACTCTTAAGTATACAGTGAAAAAAAACCCTGTGCATGTAAAAAACGTATACTATACTGGGAAAGCTAGCAGTGTGTGCTCGCAGTTTCCAAGGAGATGAAAGAAAGAGGGAGGACAACAAAACCCTTTCATTTCAATTGGCAGAAGTAGCAACATTCTAGGTCCTTCCTTGTTGCTTAATATAGGGAAAAAACCCAACAACCAACCACATTAAACAGAAATTTGGTATATCATAAATATTATTTAAAAATAACAACTGAATTGACTAGATACATACCATGCCTTTATATCAATAACTTAAAGATAAATGCCTAATAATCCCTACCTTAGCATAGGTATAATTTTTTACAAAGCACTTTAGAATTTCCATGTTCATTCCAATACCCTGCTGGTCCCAAAAATGGAAAATACTGCTCTCATTGTAGAATGAAATCACTTTTCCTGACATATGGAGGAACTAAACCTTGATGTTCACAGAATAATGCAGTTACTACAGGATGCAGGAGAAAAGACTGAGTGTTGTGTCACACCACACACAAAACTGCAGTGCCAGTAGCCTGGCAACTACAGCTCTTTAACAGGCACCATTTTAATTTTAATGTAACTTCTTTTTCTCTGCTTCAGCTACTGACTGTATTTCATTGCTCGCTGTATTTCCCAATTGCACTATGATAAAGAATAATAATAGCTCTTTAAACCCATCACTTAACACTTTCATTATCAATACAGTTTGCTTGAATGTTATCAGTATCTATAAATGTCTAACCATCAAGCACAAACAACAACAGCTGCTCACATGTGCTTTGATTGTGGTCCATATGGTGCATGACCTATCCAAATATGCAATATGGCATGCATACAAAAGTGGATATAGAGTAGCCTTATATCAATCAATATGCTTCTGTGTATACAAAGTGTAGTTTCTTAACAGCTACAAGCAGTAAAGTGCTAGTGTCCTCTGTTATTTTCCATTAGGTTTGTCTCTTTTCTTATGTGGAAAGTTTGCTGTCACTCCTGTATGTTTGGTATATAAAACTGTTATATCTCATCCAGACTACTGTCCCAAGGCACCAATATTTTTGTCAGCAAATTAATGATAACATAATAATTAGTAAGCTCTTCAGTGATATAAAGATATTATATCATATTATTTCTCCTTAAAAACATTGGGTATATTTACCCATCTTTGGGAGGAAAGCCACTGGAGATGAAAATGTCACCTGTGAAACACAGTTTCAAATTCATTACCCTATCCAGTGGGACCAGTTAAAAGCACCAGATAATGGACAATCATTTTATCTTGCTAAAAGCATGAAGGTCTTTCAAACTTATGAAGAAATGTTGGCACATCTGCAAGACAGAGCAAAAAATGACTTCTGACTGATAATGTCTGCCTCAACAGCACTTAGGCACACGTAAAAACACAAACATAATTAGCACTGGTGTTTTTCCAGTGTAGCTGGGAAACACCAAGCACATTATAGCCATGTTAGGAAATAAAATTCTCATTAATTCTTCCTGACCCATGAAACAAGGGTAATTGGAATATTCTGGTATATATGGAAATACTCTGATATATATACAGCTTCAAAGCCAATAGATAACTTACAATATGAAAATTTTGACAAAACAAAGAAAAGTTCTGCCTGCTTTGGAATACTTCAAAATGCTAACAAATTTGCAGTTTTGATGTGGCTTACTAAGCTGCAGTTATTAATGCAGGTCTCTGAATAGTCTGAGGCACACTCTACTCAAGCAACTGCTTCTGGGCAAAAGATGAACAAAGCCTGCCTATATTAGTAGCGACAGTCACAATGTAGAACAATGTAGAATAATTATGTAGGTTTCCACATGTACTTGTCTACAGAAGTGAAGTTCTTCATACTTTCCAGGAGAATTCTACTAAGGTAGCCTACTACTTATTAAAGTGCCAGGCTAGTTGCTGGCTTACCATGAAGCAGTATAGACAGTTTGCAAAAACTGGAAAAGTTTTTTCTAATTTCGTATACAATTCATGACACACAGGCCGTGTATAGCCCCCAGATAACCAAAAAGCTAACCATAGTCAGGAAGAGGGTGCCTTGGACAAGGCTTTGAATTTCAACAAGATTCCTCAAAAATACCTGAAGCTTTGGCTAGACTCTTGCAACCAGAATTTGCAGGTGACATTTCCTAACCTATGACAACGTAGCAAGCATTCAAAATGTACATTCACTTATCCAGACACTGACCAGGAAAATAATATGATAAAAAAAGATAATTTGAAATGAACAAATGTTCTACTAGTGTTCACAGCCATTTTAGATCTCCACAATAAATTTGGACTCAAATCACTACCAGAACTGATTTAACCACAGGATCTCTGGCTCCACAAGGCAGAAGTTTTGAACCTTTCCTTAAAGTTTGAAACTTGAAATCACAGCCTGAGACTGTTTTTCAGAAACCAACACTCAAACCCCAAATATATTAATCCAAGATAGATACTTTGCTTAGAAAACATAAGGCAATAACATTTTAAAAATTGTAACATTGTAACAAAATCACAAAGTAGTGATTTTGACTGTCTTGACTATACTACTTGTACATTTAACTAGAATACCCTTTATTGTGCCACCTTAACAAGATAATCTAAAAAGCCATACTAGCCATACACTTCTGCAAGCATGGAGAAATACTGATATTTTTTAACAATAAATCACCAGCAATGTTAGACTACACACCTAATCAATATGAAACCATCTAGCAGTGATAACAAAGCAATTATCTGTGGAGTACTGCTTAATCATAGTTTGCAGATAATGTGTGCAATACATAGAGGCAGATATATATAGTACCATGTGTGATCACAGTATGAAGCATCTAAGAGTCTGCATAAGATTCTACTCTCATCTTCCAATCCAGAGCTACAACAATCACCAGAAGATTGCTTTTCTGCTGGCAAATTGCCAAGACTGTTCTGATTTCAGATAAAGTTATCTCTTGACACATCTCACATCTGAATCCCTGATGACAGCTATTAAAAGGTGATTCTACATCTAAGTATCCATATCATGAGTGACATGTAAAATGAGAACAGTGGAACAGTATTAATACCTGGCAGTTTTTTTATACTTATGAGCATATAGCTGGCATTATCAAGTAATACACAATAATAAAATGAAAGCAGCTGCTCTCACTAGCATCTCCTGCATTCTAATTCATTAGCTGACCATATACTCTGAAAACAAGAAAAAGAAATCACAGAAATACAAGGTACCATAAATGAGCTTAATAAACCGAAAGAAATGTGACTTATATTCATTTCCCACCAAAAATCTATGAAAGCAGCTGTAGACATGCAGATAATAAATGCTAAAAATAAATCCAAGTTATCTTGCAAATGTTGCTATAGTAACAACTCCTCCTCAGAAAAATGTTAATAAAAACATAAAGCTATCTAAGATACAACTTGGAAATGACCCTAGGTGAATTCAACCACTCCCAAATATTTTTGGTTTACCCTATTACTAACTGTAACTATTTATTTTACTTCATGCACAGTATATTAATTCCTTCTAATACAACAAAATGAAATGTTTGCTTTCCATCTCATTGCATATTAAAAAATTACTACCTGTTAAATTATGCAACCTAAGAAATGCAAGTAGGTGGTTGTTACACTTCCAGTACCTATTATCCAGCTAGCAACATTAATTTTCAAAGAACTCATTTTGGATATGCTTTATTTATGATTCAAGACCTCACTAAAACTACTAAAAATCTCTTCCTATGCCACTAGAGAAATACTACTTTTGATACTATCAATATAATAATAAAGAGCAGTTTAAAGAAGAAAAATATAAAAATAGTAAAAGAGAAAAATATTACTTTAAACAATTCTTACTCTTTCTTGTCCTTCATACCAATCATCTTCATCAAACCAGTGGGAAATATAAGTCATCCAAGCCATGAAAGTTGAAAAAAAAATACAGAACCTGAAGACATGTAAATACAATAAATCCTGTGCTAAAATTTACTCAACACCACAACAAGCTACTCAAAGATCAGATCTGAAGTCTATGGTATGATTTGAGATTAATAAGTTTTAAATTCATAAATATGTAATCTGAAATACTTTTAACAGCAATTTAGATGTTCTACCTATTGAATTTTCTAATGGAAAACAGAATCCAATACTAAAGCAATTATTAGCGTATATATTCCAGTATTTAAAATTGAAGAGGTTAGTGCTTCAAGATTGATTTTGCTGTGCTTCTGAGCTCCGAAAATGAGGTGCTGTTTGAGTCATTCTTATCTGTCTCCTAAAAATTTACTTTCATTTTTAAAAATGTACTATCTACAAAATGCAGTTCAGTGCACAAAAGCTTGTACTGAAATGTAAAATACCCTCAGAATCATGGGGAATGATTTGTTTTGGTTATGTAGGGAGTGGCTTCAATTGGCACAGTAGGAGGGGCCAAAATTATCACAAATACCAAGCATTGGTTTAACTTTTTTTTTTAAAGAGGAAAAAAAAATCTGCTACTCCATTGTTCACAGCCAGCAGAGCCTAAAGGGCTCAGCTGCAGCCATCGGTGTTAGCTGAAAAATGTAAAAAGCTTAATTTAATTAATTCATCGGAATGGATCTGCTTCTTTTCCTCAGAAGAGTTTCACATATCTGACAGCATTTATCCCTTCTGCAGGTAGCATCCTTTTCTGGTATGCTTCTAAGTTTCACAGTCGATTTCACAGTGCATTATGCCAGTAAAAATGAAAGGTAAAAAGGAATAAAAGCTGTACTACCACATTTCAGTACTGCAACAATATATTTCTTCAGCTGTGCTGTTTAGAAGACATAATACAAATCTTCCTAACTGCATGGTTACAGCAACTATCAGATCCTCAACAGAGATTGTGCAGACCTAAAAAAACCCCAGTTTCTTAAGATAGCTAGGATCCAGACAATCTCTGTCTTCCTATACTGACTTAACAAGCTGTTCCCCACAGTTTGTAATATAATAAATGTAAAAACTAAACAGGGAAGTCTATTGTTTAATCAAGAAATAAACAAAGCAAAGTAGGAAAAGTAGCTCGAACTACTAACTGGTCAACATTACTTATCATTTCCACAGAGCAATTCTGTGTCATTACCTGTCCTACCCCAAAATATGTCATTTCCATTAAGGGTACTGTATAGGCAGGTGACATTCTCCAGGGGAATAAAGAAAAACAGCAATATTTTTGGTTCACAACCTCTTACTCAGAAATTCTGACAACCAAGGAGAAAAAAAGAAAACAAACTAAAAATACAAACCACATGCACAGAACCATAAATATTTAAATCAAGACATCCAGTAATAGGAAGTAGCATTCCAAGATTATCAGTTTTTTTGTAGTTATGCAGTCATCCATGTAAATTGATACAGACACAAGAATATATAGAAGAACTTTCTACAATATTGTTGAAATTTTTCAAATTACTTGCCCTTTGAGATTTCAGCTCAAACATTACTTATACAAAGTGCACAGAATTGCATGGTCTCATAAATTGTATGAGAAATATAGCACTAATTCAGTCACCTCAAATGACAGTGCTGAAGAAATCTCTGACCATAACCATGGTCTATGAGCAAACAAGAAAAACATTACTAATGTACCACTACTGTGAACAAAAATTTTTCAAATTGTTAAAACATATCCACATTATTACTGCTTGTTACACATGAAAATCATGGTTTCAAGTAAATTAATACTTGCCCATTAAGGAAAGTCTTTGCTTTCTGGGTTTATCTGTCTTTTTTATAAGGGCACATAGTATCACTAAGAATATTGATCAATGAATTACAAGTAGTTCAATAGTATCAAACTTGTTTCTCTTTTATGCCTGTAGCTGTACTTTCCACCATCTATAGAAAATTGTTTCTTTTTTATGCCTGTG